GCTGGGTCCGGTGTACAGTCAGTCTGCTTTGTGTCTCTCTTGGGGGACAAACGGACGGGTCTGATCTGGACGGAGCAGGGCAGCACAGGTGTGGAGGCGAATTGAGGTGGACCCCAGAGGGGTGAAGACATAAGTAACCAGAGTCATGCTGGGGCTCCGAAAGTGCAGGGCCTGGTGTGGCTGAGGGACAGAGGGCTGGAATGTGTCCTGGGGGGACTCGAGTCATCTTCCCCTTCATTGTGGGGTGGCCTCGGGGGTGGGAGGTGAGAAGACCACAAGAGAGAAGCTGGGGATGCTCTCTTGTTTGATGTTTGGAAACAATATGATTGTTTTGTAAGAAAAATACCCAAAAATGCATTTCCAATGTAAAGAAATTAGAAGATACAGAAAAGTCCAAAGAATATATTTAAAGATGCCCCTGAAGTCCCTGCCCAACACTGAGCACTGTTCACACCTGGCACCCCTCCTATGCCTCTGACAGACAGATGGTCACAGCTCTGAGGTCGGGTGCACCTGGTGAGCTCACCTGCATAAGCAGATAGTGCCGCCTTGCCAGGATCAAGGAGTTGAGGGGGGTTGCTTGGCACTTGGAGCATGTGCCACCCATGGTCCTTCTGGGCGTGCGCGTTCCTGACTGGCTTCTTACCTGAATAAGCTTACATCTAAGTGCTATTTGATCGTCTTTTTCTTGCATTTAATAATCTATTGTGTTCTTCTGTACTTGTGGGTAAGCATTGACTTGATGATGTGTGCTGCCTGCGTCGTGTGCTGTAATGCTCTTATTTATTTAGCCAGGTCCTGATGAGTGCACATTAGATGATAGATCGTTACTGTTAAAGCGATGTGGGCTGGCATCCTTTTGAGCTTGTGGGATAGCTGAGGCCGAGGAAACAAGGCTGGCAGAGCTCATCAGACTCTTCGGGAAGGCCAGCTCGTCTCTGCCCTCACCTGTGAGTGGTAACTTTTGCGGGTCCTTTGCTCAGCTTGGGAAGATGTGGCCTGTAGGACCTGCCGCTGGACAGGTGTCAGTCTTGCCCTGGGTGGGGGCTTTGCAACTGGGTGGCAGGCACCCTCAGGGAGCAGCCATTGTTTCCCCTGAAGATTGAGGTGGCCCCCAACCTCCGACGGTGGGGTCCACACTGGTGTATGTATGTGTGGGGGTGCTGCCCAGCGTGGTCTCCTCAGCTTTTCTGGGTAAAAGAGAGAGGCCCCCAAAGATCTCTTGGGGTGGGAGCGGGGGAGCCGGGGCAGGCTGAGCGAGCTGGACCAGGGCTTCCAGTTCTGGTCTGCATGTTGAGTGAGTATTGCAAAAACAATCCCTTTATGTTCTGAGATTTTTGTGATGTATGTCCTTGCCGCCTAATAGTCCCTCTCCCTGTGGCTTCAATGTTTCTAGAACCTTCTATGACTTGTAGATGTGTTGGGTGTGGTTGCCATCCCAAGCCCGGAGCCTGTCCTGGGCAGCTGGGTGGGAGCAGCGACCGTGCAGAGACACTGCTCCGTGCCCCCTCTGACCACAGTCAGGGTAAAGCAGCAACTTTGCAAACCCCCAGACAAGTTTTATAGTTACAGAGGTTTTAATGAGGTTTCTGTCGGTGTTTGTGCGTTTGGACTGCCCCGCCTGAGACAGCTGGACACTGAACAGAAACCTGGAAGGCACATGCGACTGATAGTCACTCTCCTTCACTGCGTGCACTTCATTTGGTGTGAATTATTTCATTTCATTTTCATGCCTTTGTTTTTTTAAGCTAGCAAGAAAAAATGAGTAGTATGCACTGTTGACTGGCCTGATTAGAATGTTGTGTTTATTTGGAAAGGGGAGCTCCCCAGACCTCCTGCAGAGAGCATCGCCAGTCTTGATAGAGCGCCTGCTGGACTCCTCACTAAGAGCACGTGGGAGATTTTGATAAGAAGCTGATGTGAATGGGCCCAGGGAGGCCCAGATGCGGCCCAGGGTCTCCCATGTGGGAAGGCAAATATAGCTTTCTGCAAGGTGGTGCTGGTGGTGGGCCCAGATCAGCCAGGTTTTGGACACTGACCACACTGCTGGCTTCTGGAAGATCCCAAGTCTCCGTGTTTTTATCTGGGAAGGGGAGACGATAATGTAATCTCACCGAGTTGCTGCAAGAATCCCTGTGAAGAGTCAGCATGTCCCTTGCCGTTCAGTGACCTGACCCACTCCTCTCCTGCTCCAGAGGGCTCTGGCTATGGTGATGGGGAAGTCTGCTCTCCCCAGACTCATGTCCCTGGCTCACAGCATGGGTGAGTCTAAGAGTAAAGGAACCAGAGGGTGAGGGGTGGCCCTCCTCAAGCACTTGTAGACCTGGTTTGCTGTGTCCAGCATGCAGGGTCTCACATGTCCTTGGCAGGGATGTGACTGGGAATCACCAGGTGGCACTGAGTGTGGAGCCCAGAGGAACACCATGAGGTGGGGGTGGCCCCGTAACTGAGTGTGTGACCACTAGGCGCACAAGGAAGTACCCTCGCAGGAAATGGTGCCTGTACCACCCCAGTGTCTGTCTGTACCACATCCTTCTGTGTGGTTAGAGGGAAAGCAGAAGTGCCTGGGAGAGGCCTGGCTAGCGGCGGGCTTGCAGGCAAGGGGAGGGCCCGTCCCAGGGCCAGAGACCCAGGACAAGGACCAGGCTGCATTTGCGGTCAGCCCGCTGGGCGCCCCCTTGTCCCCACAGGGCACCAGCCCACCCAAGTGACCTGATGGTTCTGTCTGCCAGACGGTCAACAGGTGACCATTTGCTCTGGGGAGTTCTCGCCCCATGTCCCGTGTATGGGAAAGGCAGGCACTCTTGTTGGGGCAGGGGTCATCGGGGATCCACTGGACACGAAAGGCCTGCACCTGCATTTCTTGAGGCACCTAGTGCTCACGGGAAGGCCTCGGCATCTGGCTTGAGTGGTGGGTTGGTATTGAAAGGGAGTGTCCAAAGAGGAGTGGTTTATTTATGTTTCTGTGATGCCCCCATGGCACTCGGCAGAGAGAGGGTGCCCAGAGCTGGAAGAGCGAGTTTTACCCTGGGGCAGCCAAGGCCCCCCCTGGCGGGGTGGCACAGCCAGCTGGCGACACTCCAGGTTCAGTTCTGCGGGAAACAAGGCCTCAAAACTGTGTCGCCTTCAACAGAATGGGACAGTTTAATATGGGTACATACATGTCCATTTTCTATCAGCTCGATAAGTCTGGTGGCCAGAAACCATTAGTGAAGGATAATTATCCACATTTCCTCAGCCAATCAAAAAGGGTTCCAAAATGTGGGTAAACGGAGCCCTGTCCTCTTGACTGGCGCTGTCCCAGAACCCACATTTGGGGTCCTCTCTGTTCTGTCCCTGAATCCTTTCTCCATGTCCCTGGTCACTGGGTGAAGGCGCCCAGCGTGCACAAGGTGACAAGTGTGTGCGTGAGGCCCGTCCCTGGCGCAGCTCCTGGCATAACCATGCCCCATACAGAGTAAGGTGCCTTGCCTCTGTGACACCCTGAGCGGGAGCCAAGTTTTTCTGGGCCACGATGAATCTTCCGCAGGGACAGGTGGCAAGACCCTAGTGGAGGTGGAGGGGGCAGCCTAGCTTATCAAGTAAGAATGTTCTAGAACGTCTTTTAGATTTTCCAGTCGATTTTGGTTCCTGTGACAAATGCAGGTTGGCACTCCTGGCTTGAGTTGAGACCACTCTGCCTCTATTCCTAATCTGCTCCCTAGCAATGGTCCCCAGAAGGGGCAGTGCCTCCTTGAAGCTAGCCCGAGACAGAATGAGGGCTGGTTAACCCCTCGGCAGGAGTTCTTCCCCTTGGAAGATGATCAGGTGACAGTGAGACACTAGCTGCCACTTTTCCATGTCTCACAGGTTCTGAATCAGCTCAGAGAGGGGACCTCCACCCCCTGTGGGATGGAAAGACAAGGCCTCCGGGAGGCACTGGGGACATTAGGCCCAGCTCTGGGAGCAGGTTGCAGGTTAGCAGGACTGGGGTCCAGCTAGCAGAGGCTTGAGAAATGTGGGGGGCTCTTCTCCATGTGGAGGCTACAGAGCGAATCCCTGGAATCTGGGTGGCTCACCACGACCCGGACTTCTCTTCCCACCGGGGACTGCAGCAGAAGCTGCCCCAGGCACCTTCCTGCCATCTTGAGCAAGGGATGCGGGCATTTGAGTTTTTTCAACACAGCCGTCTTGCCCCTGATGACACACCCTCCTGAGCCCGGCCTTCCCATTGGCTTCTGCAGCACTGTGGGTCAGGCATAGCGAGGCCCCTTGAAGCCAGGATGACATGATTTTAGGTTTTCCCCTCTCTTGTCACTCCCAAACTCTGGGGGAAAGCCACAGTAGTTTGACCTGGAAGCATCTAGAAGGGGAGAGAGCCTCGAGGGCAGATCGATGGGTGGAGTGACTCATAGCATATTCTCAAGATTACTCGGTGGGGGTGCCTACGTGGGGATGTGCCTTTGCTGGTTATCTGGAAAGCAGGAATGATTGACATTCTCACCACAAACAGGCATGTAGATGGCTGGGCAGTATCTTAGCAGCAGAGGCACTCATGGTGCTTCTCAGGTTAGGAAAATCCGGCACCTCTCTAGGCCTCGGGCGGGGGGTGGGGGGAGGGGGAGCCGGCAGTGTTTGCTTCCTCCTCTTCTCGGCTTGGGGCATGAGTGTTGCTGTGTCCTGTTCTGACTGCTCTTGGAAAGCCAGGGAACCACCCCCCGCAGTGGCCACTCGGTCCTCTGCTGATGGGTGTGGCCTGGCATGGTTTGAACATGTTTCAGAGGCAGCAGTCTTGGCTGGAAGGTGCACAGCCAGCTCTGGGGGCTGAGCTGGGCTTCCTGAAGGTCACCTTGGAGGGTGCGGGCACTGACGCATCAGAAATGGATTGTGCGGGTAGTGTGTACACAAAATAGTGAACAGTCTGACGTCTAAAATCATGCTGAAGTGGGAATTGGTGGCCCGAGGTGACGGACTGGTGAACATTTCTTTTTGTCTTGCCGGGAGGGAGGTGACTGGGGTTCTTGGTGGCACGTTTGCCAGAGCGTGTGGATTCTCTCTAATGGCTACGTCCTGGGAGGAAAGCCAGGTTAAAAGGAGAGGCCTCCGTTGGCTCAGGCTGTGCTGGACGGAGCTGGATGACAGTCTGTGGTCGAGCTGGCCTGACTCTGTAACTCCACTGTATAGTTTTAAGGAATTACCAAAGATGAAGGCAAAGAGAATGGTATTTTGTGGTTTTGAGATTTAAAAAAGAAATCCTCTCACGGGCCTGGGCTTGTCGAGGCCCCTTGGCCCGTCCCTCCCACTGCGGCTGAGAGGAGACTTCATAGTCCCTCTGCAGCTGGGCTGGGTCTGGGGGCCGCGCACAGGGCAGGAGGAGTCTGGTTCCCTGACGAAACCACACGCGCTGTTCCTCACCAGCAGTGAGCACCTGGGGGTGGAGGACGCTGCCACAGGCGGCCCAGGGCTCAGCCCTGAGCCAGCTCCAGATTCCAGGTGCTTCCGGGCAACTCCTGTGACGCCTTCACCAGCTGGCAAATGGCAAAGAGAAGGACCACTGTTTCTGAAGTGCCTGCTGTGGGGCCAGGACACCCCTCATCTCTGCCCTGAATTCCTGGAGGAGGAGGGGACAGGAGCTGCTGCTCTGGCACCAGGAGTATTCGAGAGCGATTTTTGGCCCGCTCACTGTGACAGGCCCCATCCTCAGCGCCACGCACCGTTCCAGAGCCGGGATGTGCTGACAAGTTCTACCCGTGTCTGCAAGACCCTGGAGGGGGAGTCCCAGCTCTGACCGTGGCTCTAGACAGGTTCCTGCGTTCTGTGAGTCTTTCTCCTTGACGGCAGTCCTTAAAACCTGTCTCACCAGGGCTCTGAAGGATCCAGGGGTGCCTAAGAAAACCTGCATTCCCCTACCACTTGTTTATGTTAGGTGAGGCCCCTATGGCCCTGAGAGTCTGGTCAGACCTTTCCCTGCGCTGAGGAGTGTCCCACCTGGGTCATGAGGGCATAATGCCATTCTGTGTGGCTATGTTAACATTTTATTTAAGTCTACTTCTGTAGCACGTGTGTGCTTTACAGGTCCTCATTTACACAGCTTCGCCCCCAGAGGGCAGCTGCATTATATCCTCCCACTGGGGAGCTGGAGGGGCTGAGGGCTGGGGGAGCACCTGGGAGAAGTGGAGTAGCTGAGACAGGTGGAGGGGCTAAGGGAGTAGCTGGGGAAGTGGAGCGGGGTGACCTATTCTAGGCGCAGCCTCAGACCTGAACCCAGGCAGGCTGGCCTCAGAGTCCACATCTGGCCGTCACTCTTTGCTGCCTCCCCTGTTGGGGGAGAATAAACACAAACTGAATTAAAGCATCTCATTGACTTGAAAGGAGTATAGAAAGTGTTTGTGCTACATGACTTCAGGTGTATTTTATAGCAGACAATGTGAACATATGTATGTATGTATGTATGCCCTTTCAAAAATAGCTCAACTAAATGGAAACACTTAGAAAAAGGGTGACTAAACGTAAGTCATAGAAATTGTGTAGGGCATGTCCCGGTAGAAGGAAGTAAACCTGTCAGTGTGATGAGTCAGTCCTGAGTCAGTTTCCTGTCCCCCCCCGAGGTGTAAGAGGACAGAGCCTTCTGACCATCTCACGGTGCCCTCTGTGTGCCATCCGGATCTCTGCAAACAGGCTCTGCATTCTAGATAGAAAAACTTCTTGGTCAGGTTGTGCTGGCGGTGAAAATCACTCTTTAAAAATGAATTTGAGGGGAAAGTTGGCAATGATCTGAATTCCAGCATTATCAGATTTAACTGGAACATCGCATAGCCGGGAAATGATACTTGGGAGCACTGAACGCACACGGGATGATGCCACATGGGTCCCTCCCTCCTCTCCTGCCCGCCCACAGGTCCTTGCTTCCGTCATGGACTTCGGGTCTCTGTTTCTGCTGCACTGTGGCTACAAGCCTGCCTCTCCAACCCCTCCGGGGCACTGAGGGGTCATTGCAGCCCCCTCCCCCAGGCCTGTGCACAGCACATTTCAGCGCCACGTGTGGCCCACCCTCCAGCAAAGGTCACGGGTAAACACTCCTCTATTTCAGTTATTCGGGAGGAGAAGGCCCAACAGAATGTCAGAATGACTGGAAATGATGTTAAGTCTGTCTGCTGCTCTTAAAAACTTCCATTGTGATGAAATCCATTTAGTGAACTTCAAAAAGGAATCATATTTATTATTATTAGTTAACAGTAAAGTTATTACAGCCTTTTTTAAAAATTGTCAGAAATGTGTTTTCTCTAGCCTTTTCTATATTTTCCAAATTTTTCACATTTAATATATCTTACTTTTAATATCAGGTTAAAAAATGTCTTAATTAGGAAACCACATGCTTAACATAAGCATTCAGATAGTACTAAAAAATACAAATACTAAAAAATGAAATACACTCCTACCCCAGACCAAAGCCACTCTCTAGTCACTCACTGCCAGCAGGTCTTTGATTAAATTCTGATATCATCAAGTAGTGCTTTTGATTAAACTACACACACACACACACACACACACACACACACACACAAATGGTCATATACATGTGCCTACACAAATGGGAACATAGTATAATACTGCTGAGAATCTTAATTTTTACTGAACTATCGGACATCCTTTCATCCCAGTGGCTGCTTTCATCTTTTTAACAGCTGCATAGTATTCCAAACTAGGGATGTGCCACAATTCCTATATAAATAAGCGTACATATATACAGTATATATATGTATGTGCGCGCGCGCGCGTGCACACACACACACACACACAGAAGGACTGCTAGGTGTTTCCGGTTTTCCTGTTGAGTGGCCTGGTGCTTGGGCATGTGGGGGTGTATCCACACGTCCCTGGCAGAGACCTGTCGGGTCAGTCCTCGCAGTTATTGTTCAGCTGCCCAGGGCATGTGAATTCCCCTGGTCCCTCATCGCTGCACTTTATAACCTGCTGTCCCATGGCTGCCTCTCTCAGAGGTGAGAGATGCCATCTGGCTATAATATGCAAACCCACCCCAGACAGGAGAGGGGTGGATTGCTCATTACCATTGGGGGGTTCTGGGCCAGGTGAGGAGGTTGAACAACAGGGGCTTGAGGCCTCCTCCCCATCTGCAATGGCAGTGATGGGGCCTATGATTGGAGCCCTGTGCCAGGGAGAGTGTGGCCATGAGCCCAGAGACACCTGGGCTCCAAGCCCAGGCTCCCCATAGGCAGGGGGCGCTGGGGGAGCCCTGAGACACTTTGCAGGAGGGGACTTAGATGTGCTAGCATCCAAATCCTGCTTTTCTGTCTTATATAGTCTTCTTAGCAAGGATTCCCAGGTAGGCAGGGTCATCACTGATACTTCTGCGGTGCTTCCTAGGTGCCAGACTCTACCCTAAGCCCTTCACATAGGTCCCTCATGGAGCCGCATAATAACCAAGTGAGGTAGACACTATTATTATGCTTACTTTCTGGATAAGGAAACAGGCATAAAGAGGCCCAGAAGCTTCCCCAAGGACACACAGCTGGTAAATGTAGATGCCAGGCCTAGAGCCCAGATCATTCTTACCACAGAGCCCCATGCCCTCACCCATCCCTCCTGTGTCTTCTCCACCTGCTAAAGAGGAGCCCTAGCTAGTGCCGGGGCGAGAGACTTTGGAAGGAGGGGTTGCTGCTGCAGACCGTTGTCAAGATGCATGGGAGGCACAGGCCCACCTCACCATGGTCCTGGGCTGTTGTCATGGGTGGTGGGTGGGCCATCAGACATGAGTGTTGGATCTCCCACGCTCTCCTGCCCTGCCCGGGGACAGGCGGAGGGCAAAGGCCAAGTTTCTTGGGAAATACTTCTGTCTCTTCTGATTAATTTCATTCCTTTGTTTTACAGTTGGACCTTTGCATTCTTTTTAGGTGCAGCATAAGAAGTTAGGAGATACCCAGTTGAAACTATCATTAGTAATTGTATGAGGAATTTGTATTTTGCATGTTTCAGTGTCATGATAACTAATTATAGCTTCTGAGCTTTTACCTTGAGAGAAAAGAAAAAATTGTCATGATGAAGGGTACAGACATCTGGGGGCTCGGGCCTCTGCGGTTGACTGAGGCTGAAAGTGTATATTTTTACCCAGAAACCACAGGCTAAAAGACGTTTGGCAGAGGTGAGATACGGAAACTTGGTTTGGAGGAGAAAATGAGCATGTACAATTCAGTGCAGTGGGTGAGGTTATTAAGAATACAGACACACGCAGTGCCCTAACCTGTCATGTGTTCAGGACCAGGAATTTAAGGTGAATAGGATATGTACTCGTCCAACCACAGAACCAGCAGCTCCGGGCTTTTATTAAAGTGACAAAGGCTTATTGAATTTCTGGAAGAGAGATTTTTGGTTATAATTCTTAGAATTCTTATTGTTTATCTAAACCTCTTATCTGAAAGAGTGGTTCCATTTAAACCTCTTATTTGTGTGTGAATCATTCTTTTTCCCATAAGTATTTTCAGCAGTCTCCAGGTGGCTATTGTGCGCCCCCCCACCCCACCCCCCCAACCTGTGTGACAGGAAAAACCCACAATTCATCAGGCTTGCACATCGCCTGCTCATCGGAGATTAAAATAGAAGACATTGGTTCTGTGTCCTGGGTAGATATGGCCTCTCTAGGACACTTCCTGCTTGCTCAGATGTGAAGTTAATTTTGCTTACAAATTTTGGCCATCAGAAGCAGCCACCTCTGCAGAACCAGTCGTTGGAAGCCTACCACAGTGGAGCCTGATGAATCCTAACCATTTCTGCCTGTTACTTTGGGGCCTCATTTGCTAACTCAAGGTGTTTGCTCAGGATTCAGGGGACCTGAGGGGCCCCAGGTGACCCTGGAAATCATGTGGCATGGGTGGGCATTTAGTGGTGGGGTGTAGGCTGGGTTCCATGCTGCAGGCGTGATTGGTCCCACTTCCAGGCTGTGTGTGTGGGGAAGACGGGGCATTACCGATGTTCCTGGGGAGCCCCTCCCGCTTCTTAGCTGTCTTCAGAGAAATGCAAGATTGTATAAATTCTTAAAGCAAGAGAAAATAATACTCCAGCCACAAAAAAATGCTTACATTTGATTCTGAGGTTTAAAAGAAAACTATGTTGGGTCATTTGCAGCCATAGAGGAGTCAGCCTCCGTTTAACCAGCTGCTAACCCTTCATTAATCTTGCATGGTGGCCTCTGGCTTCACCATTCAGATTCTCTTTGTCGAATCATTTGTGATCTCACTGGACTTCAGGATCTCTGTTTTGAGGGCTCCCTCCTGTACTGTGAAGGAATAACAAACACACCACAAAACTTGCTACACCACTGGAAATGCTCTGTTTGGCTTGGCTTTAAAACAACAATCCAAAAGAAAGAAAACTGGGGAAGTAAACAGGTTCTTCAGGAAATCATTTTCTTGTAAATATTTTGTATGTATTATCTCTGCTTTCTCCTTCATGGTCTCACACCTTTGGAGTTCAAGGAAGAGAAGTTCTAAAGGATACACATCTGAGGAGAATTCAGTGATACTTTTTTGATTAATGACTGTGACCGTGGCTTGTATTTGAATGGCTTATTTCGTGGGGGAAATAGCGGCTGTCAGTAGTTGGGGACTGGCTCCTGCACCTGGGTGACTGCCCAAGTTGCACGTCCTTTGTTTATGGGTGAGCGATTTCACACTCACTCCCTCCTCCCATTTGCACAAGGCACGAATGCGAATGCCACGCTAATCCTGGGTCAGAGAGTCAGCAGCCAGAGGGTCCAGAAATTTAAAGAAAATTACAAGTTTCTTTCCAGTGCCATTCCAGAGGTGATGCTGAGTTTATGTGGACAGGCCATTTAAGCGTTTAAATGTTCTTGTTTCCCATTATTTCCAGAGCAAAGATTTCTGAAGATTTCTTCCTAGAAACGATTGGGAAGTTTTGAGAGGCACAGGATACAGGTAAAATCCCTTTTTGCCCTCAATCTATATCCCAGGTTGGCACATTGGCACCTTACGGAAGCCCCAGTGGGATTCAGCAGGAGATCGGTGGTTGGACCCTGCGTGCTCGTGGGGTCAAAGATCTGGACTTCATCTCTGTCCCACGGGGTGGCCTAAGATGGAGCCCACAGGGCAGTATAGGTGCTGGGCACCCAGACCTCCATGTGGGTCGCCTCTTTTTTCTTTGTCCCCCCATTGCCTTTCCCTTCCTGTGCTGCTTCCCTGCTCTCTTTGGACTGATGGCCCCTGGTCTGAGCACTGAAATGCTCCATCTTCTCTTTGGGAGTGCAGGGGGGTCATTGGTGATGTCCGATTTAAAAAGAGAGCTCTCAGTGTCATCGTGCCCTGGATTTTGGTTGCTTTGTGATTCATCTTAATTTTTATTAGTTAATACATGGCCGACCATATATTTCCAGTTGTAGAGGAAAGGGAAATGCCAGTTTAATTTGTAAAAACGAAAGGAAAGCTCCTACCTCTCCTTCATCCATTTCTGTTACTTACCTGTTGTGAATGGGCCCAGCAAGGGCGTCGCTCAGCTTGTCTCGGCAGTCCTGCCGCCAGCAGGGTCTTGAGGTGCCAGTTCATGCCGGTGTGGTGGGCAGTGGTAATGATGCAGGTTCCCTCTGGGACACTTGGCACTGTGCTTACTGGCTGGTTACAGACACATACATGAGAACATTTTCTTCACAGCCTTGTCTGCTGGCCCAGGCTCCGTAGTTTCTTACTAGTGTGGTAGGTTGCTGCATTAATTAAGAATTCCAAGCCCAGGCATTTATGTTACAAGGATTTTTTTTCCTAACTTTTTACCCCCTAGATCATTTCATTTGTCTTTGGATTTTGATTGCTGAGCCCTTTAATTGACAGGGCTGGTGGGGTCCTCGCTCCCCTTGCACCCGCCTTTCTGATGCCTTTCTGAGTGTGTGCCCGACGTCACTGCCAGTTGATTGGTTGGTATGTGTGTTCCTCACCCCAGTGCCCTCCCCTTCCCAGCTCCCGTCAGCATGCGCGTGGCGCACACGTGCCGGGCTTCGCGTGAGGGAATGAGATTAGGGTGTGTGTGTCGGACATCCTGACTGGATTGTTTGCCCCTGCAGTGTTGCTGGAGGGGGAAGCTCGCATCCTGGGACAGTGTCCTGGATGCTTTTCTACGGGGTGGGTCCAACTGGACCCAGCTCCAGGGCTGCGCTCGTCCCTGTGCAGCTGGAATGCTGCTGCTGACGATCTGCTCTAAGTTTTGGGAAAACTGAAGTTCAAACAATAAAGTCTTTGTTGGGCATGTAACATAGAGAGCTCCTGAAATCAATCCTGATTCCTGGGGGACAAGGCCATTTCTGTGAGATGGTGACATTGGCACCATAGCCAGGGTTTGGGGAGGAGACCAGGGGTAGGGGAGGGGGACATGAGGTGGGGGAGGGGAGTCTGGAGGTGTCGGGGGGCATCTGGTAGAGGACAGCCTGGGAGTAACATTGGCGGGACATGATCTCGGAGTGGCTGCCTCTCTCTGCTCCCGCCTGGGAGGGGAAGGTGTGGGCGGGTGCATGTCCTCCACTGTACTGGCCACAGGGCCTGGATGGGGAGCAGGGCTTCACCCATCCTGTCTGGACAAAATTGTAGACAAGAAGCCAGAACAGATTGTCCTAGCAGTCATCCACAGCCGTCACCCGGGATCCCCTTTCACAGGTTCCCTGGAGATCCCAGTGAGGGCACTTTTATTGTTGGCTATCACCCTGTTGCTGACGGGAGCACTGACGCCTGATGTGTGGTAGTGAATGGCGTCCTCTCTGTGACCCACCACTACTGGCCCAGACAACTGGTCCCAAGAAGGGAAGCCAAGGAGTGAAGTGGCTGTGACAGACCCCACCTGCAGTCCATGGTTCCTGCCTTACTGCACCCCAGCTGGCAGTCACCATTCACATCTAAGAATGTAACACCAGATCAGAATTGTTGTGCTGCAACAAAGTGTGCCCATACCACACCCCCATGTGCATACATGTATGCACATGTGCACTCACGCACATGTGTGCACATACATGCACGCAGACACATGCCTGTATGCACACATGCAAACACATGCTGATATGTACACACAGACGTATGCATACATGAATGCACACACATGCATGTAAGTGTGGATGCTCATGCATACACATATCACACTTATACAGAGGCACACAAATGCACATTTACACACATGCACAGAAACTCAGATGCACACAACTGCATGTATAACATGCATACACACGTGTACATATGTGCAGACATACATACACAACACATGTGTGCACACAGACATTTGTGTACACCGTTTTGTGAACTAACCCTTACCCTTACAGTTTGCTGGGTATGCCTATTTTCTCTGCCGCAACCCCCTGGCTTGGTTCAAGGCCACATGGGTGGAGAGCTGCCATGTGACAGGCACTGATGGGCCCTGAGTGATGTGTTCAGAGACCCCTCTGGGTTCTGTTATTTAAAGTGGGATTGTGCACTGCTCACGAATCAGCACAATTATGTGTAAGTAATGGGAGTGACACTGTGACCCTATTATCCTAATGAGCCTCCATCTCATTGTGAAAGGCAGCACTTTGCACAGGGAAGTGAAATGCTGCTTCTGACACTTGGCTCCCAGCAAGCTACCTTAGCTTCTCAGAAATGCCCAGGTAGGGCTGGCCGAGTGGCGCGTCGGTTAAGAGCTGACTTGGGACACCATCTCTGAGCAGCAGGGCCCCAGTTCAGATCCCACATGAGAGCCAGTGACGCTGCGCCCTCTACAGCTAAGATGGTGAGCAACAGCTCGACCTGGAGCTGGGCTGCCGTGAGTCACTGGTGATGGCATAGGCTGCAGTGGGGCGGCAGTGAGCTCTGTAAGCTATGTGAGTAGCTGGCAACCAGCGTGAGTGGCTGTGAGCCGCCATGAGCGTCTGTCCAATGGCCTGCAACCAATCTGCCTCACCTGGGAAGAGTGCAATGATAATACCAGCATGAGCCAGTGAAGCAACGTCCTCCACAACTAGACTGAAGAACAAAAGGACAGCAACTTGTCTGTTCCCCTTCCCAAATTCCCCAATGCTGTTCCCCTCTCCCAATTCCCCAATAAAATCTTAAAAAAAGAAAAAAAGAAAAAAAAGAAATGCCAGGTAGCCAGCAGAACAGGCACTTTATTCTGTTGTCTCCATTTGAATGTGTGGGTTGTGATTCCTGATGGGACATCCCCTAAAGATCATGGAGCCAGTGTTGCTGAGAGCACGGTGGCAGTGTGTCCATGTGGGTGTGGGGTTTGCTTTGCTTAGCAGTTTTTAAATTATACAAAACAATGTGTGTTTGGCAGAAAAGTAAAAACATTCAACCCTTCCAATGTCATAAAGAAATGTCCTCTGCGTGGAGGGGCGTCTGTGTGGCAGGGACCAACCATCCTGCCTTTGGCTATTCATGTGGATTTTTTTTAAAAACCATTTGGGAACGAGAGGCAGGGTCCGACTGAGGCTGTCAGGAATCTGGTGTGTCCTGATGAGATAAATACAGCTCAGAGTGGGATAAAGCTTTTGTGTGCTGGGGCACTCGCGTACTTTTGCAGAAAGAACTGCTCCGTCCTCTGGTCCTGCTGACAGGGCCGCCTGGAAATGGCCGAGAGTGACAGCCACCCGGCTCCTGAATAGCAGTATTGGGTTTGGTCCAGGCTACAGGCCATTAAAAAAATATGTTCTCCTCTCACCTAAATCAGTTTGAGCAGCCTGTGAGGACAGAAGGAGACACAGGACTACCCCCAGCGTCAGCTGGTGAGTTCCCTTTGTGGGAACTGTGGTGGAGAGCGCCCTTACAAGGCCCCTTCTCAACTTATGTTCATTCTGGGTACTTTGTTCCTGACACTGTCTGCCACTGGGGACTCACCTTGGTTTTCTCGAGCTCTGGCCTGGGTCTTCTAATGGGTGTTTGCATTCCCTCGGTTCTGCCCTGCCCCAGGATGGACCGCGTCATTGAGACATTTTCATTGAGACATCCTCAAGTCCTCAGTGTGCTATGAAGGAAATAAAGCAGGAGGGGCGTGGAGGTAGGGGTGGAGCAGCTTGTGAGGAGGTGGTCTTGGAGCAAAGGGCCACTGTGGGAAGGAGCTAGCCCCTGGGAGCTCCTGGGGGTAGAACATTCTGGAAGAGGGGGCAGCATGTGCAAAGGCTGGGGGCAGCCTATGGGGGGTAGAGTGGGTGAGAGGCCAGGACTCCTTGCTGGCCACTCTCTGAGCTGCTTTTTACACTAACTCTTGTGCTGCTGCTCAGCGCACTTCTGCTGCTTGGTGAATCATCCTGTTTTTGCAGAAGTGTGAGCCCCAAATGTGGCTATGCAGACACAGCTCAATCTTCCCATCCTGTGCAGGCCACCTGCACTGGGCTGTGTCTGCTGCTGCAGTATCCACCGAGCTGCTGCCTTCCAGGCCGCAAGGAGCCTGAGCATTGATTTCTTTTTAAAATTTAATTCTTATCAGAGCGATGAATGCACGTGATTTTAAAGTGAAGTAGTATTTGCCCCTTTGTCCCTGAGATAGTGAGCTGCAGCTGTTTTAGCCATTTGGGGTATTTTCCTTCAAACTGTTTGTACCACTATTTCCTGACAGTGTGGCTCTTGAGAGGTAATTGGGTGGGGCCTGTTTTCTCTCTGAAGCTTTCAGGCCCTCCCTTTGTCTCACGGATTCCCAGATCGCATCAGAACATGCCTGGTGTGGAGGTCTTTTCTCATTCATCACACTGCTTGGTGCTTTCGTGTCCTTGTGTTCTGGACATTTTCTTATATATAAATAACATATTTGTATATCTCTTTATATTGCTTTTTATTATTTTCTGATAATTCCTCCTATTTTCCCTTTCTCCTGGAACTCCTGTTAGATGTGGGCCTCCTGATTTGTTCCTCCCGCTTTCTTATCTTATCCCTCCCTATTTTCTCTCTGCCACATTGTTCAACTTCCAGGAAGATGCCTCAATTTTATCTTCCAACCCTCCAACTGACTATTTTCTTTCTTTAACCAAAATTTTAATTTTCAAGCTCGCATTCATTTTCTCATGTTGTGTTTCTTTGTGACTCCCCCTCACAGGCTCTGCTTTCACATCTCTTTGGTCCACAAAGTCAGTTACTTACCAACAGTGGTGAACACAGCCATTATAAAAAACTAAATTATGTAAACTTCATTACACTGTAATAGAAATAAAAGTGAAAGAAAACATACTCAAACTCACTACTTTCCTGTGCGTTTCTCTGTTACCTGTGCTCTTGAAGCCCCACACATGTCGTGTCTGTGTGGTGGAAATGTTATACACTGGTGCACTACAGACCATCTCATCCTGTCTCTGTTCAGTGGCATCATGTCGGGAGCTGGAAATCAGCATTTATACCCCAGAAATCAGCATACGCTGCAAAGCAGGGCACCCACCCCGCCCCTTAGCCAGTTGTTAAGGTTTGCCCGCACATCACTGGTTATGCCCATCTGTTTTCTTTCTAGTTTCTAAGGTTTGTTAACACCCTCATGGGCTGTTGTTCTCTCCCCATTTTTATCCCTATGGGTTATGTCCTTTTGGAGTGTCGTTTTATCCAGTTTGAAGAGAGAGTTGAGATAAATCCCTGAATTCTAAGTGCCTGGTTGCAGAGAGGGATGGCCCATCTCTTATGTCCAGTCTCTAAGCCTGGCTGCCACGCGTGTCACAGGGCGTCCCACAAGACTGATTTCTATCAGGGTCTAAGTAGGAATTTGTTCTTGTCGTGGGGCCCTTCTCCCTCCAATAGAGGCGGCTCTGCATTGATATCTGGGGAGAAATGAACCCCCCCCAGGGCCCCGGCAGCCAGTAGGGCACCCAGCTGTGGGCACGCATGCGTAGGGCCTCACATATGCTCAGGAAGGACCTCTCCAAGCTGGTGGGGTTTGGTTTTATTTTTTAATAAACTTTATTTTTAAGTGCATTTTCAGATTCCCAGCAAAATAGAGCACAAAGCACATGGAATTCCCATGTTACCACCCCCCCCACAATGTATAACCTGCCCTGTATCAACACCCCACTCCAGAGTGGGGCAAGTCTGCCAAGCTCTGCCCGGTCATCCCTCCCATACCTCTCACCCTGCCAGCCACTGACCTTCTCACTGCCCCGTTGGGGACCAGTCCTAGAAACCCTTACTTGTTTGGGAGTTCAGAGCAGAGAAACTTTGGGGTGCCCTTGTCACTTGCTGATAAGTCATACAGAGAAAAAGTACCCTCAGGAAGACTGAGGAGACTGCCATTGGATGTACCCCCGTGATCTCTGGAACGGACATATGTAGAGATATTTGGAGGAAGCACAGCCTTGCAGACTGGCTGAGCCTCATGTGTCCAGATACAGCCAGGACAGAAAGGTGGGGAGCATGAAACCGGGGAGGCTGGGTGGAAGGCGGACCAACATCGTCTGCTTAGGTTTAATCCCAGTGAGAAGCATTGCGTGTTGGGAAAGGATATGCTCTGCTTTGTGTTAAAAACGTTATTCTGGCTACTGCTACTGTTTGGCAAATGCATTATAGAGGGGTTGTATCTGTGTAGAATTGTATCTGACTGCTGATAGCACAAACCTGAAAAACAGTCATTTAAAGGGATTACTGGTTTATTAGCAACTCTAGGGTAGGCAGAAGAGATCAGGTGTCAAGTCTCCACTATGTTGGGAGGGTCCCTAGTTTTTGTGGATCTCCACTTGGTTCTTAGAAGGAGATCCTTATCTTCATGTTAACAGGGTGGCTTCCAGAGCTCCAACCATCAAATTTGCATTCCAGACAGGAAAAGGAAGAAAGGCTGAAAGCAAAAATGCAAACACTAGCTGAGCCAGCCTCCTTTAAAGAGCTTTCCTGGAATTCCTACCTAATAACATTTGTTCACAGTTCTTGGGCCAGACCTGCCACCACATGAACTGGGGGATGTGTTTAGCTGGTCACACTGCCGTCCCATCAACATTCTGTTAATGAAAATGAAGGCTTGTGGGTTCAGGGACAGGAAGTCAGAGATCTCTGCCATAGGCAGCAAGAACGGAAGAAGCAGGGTGAAGGGGTAGGCGGCTGTTGGAGACGTCAGGATGGGAGGTGAGCGCTGCTTAGATTGGTGTGGTGTTGGTGGTGGAAATGGACCTGGAATGAGCCGGGTGGACATCTGGCGCTGCCCAGACCGTCAGCATCATCCAACAGATAGCTCTTTGCTGGGGCCTTGGTGTCCTGTGTCTGTGTGGGATTTCTGTAGAGTATTTAGGAATCACCAGACACTCTATGGGATTGCTTAATGAGTGGGAACATTGGAAACACGGCACAGCGTGAGAGACCTTACCCGGCCTGGGCTCCAGGAGCCATTTCATGCCCCCCTTCCCTACTGAGGGCAGGGGAGCAGGGTCCCCACCCAGGGCCCGGGGCCGAGGGTGACGTGTGTCTGTCACATGGTGAGCACTTCTGAGAGCTCCTCTGTGGGGTGTGAGCCCTCATGGCCACTCCACGAGGCAGCCTGTCTTCTTCCCAGTGCATCTGATGTGGCATTTAGAGTTCGGGTTCCACCCTTGCTGCGGGGTGTCTGGGCCAGCTGCCCCTCTGGATCCCCAGTGCAGGGCTTGGCGTGCAGACTGGCACCCACTTCTATAAATAGTTGTGTTGGCACATAGCCGTGCGCCACCATGGACGAGACTGTGGGACTCAAAAAGCTGACAGTCATGCTCGTCTGGTCCTTTGTAGAAAAGAGGTGCTGCCTCCACCCAGTATGTGCCAGAAAACGAGGGACTGGTGCTCTCTGAATTCGGGGGCTAAGAGTCTGTCCGGATGGGGAACAGATGCCAGGTGGACGGGGGCCTGGACGGGTGGGCCTCCAGTCTGGGAGAGAAAGTGCAGGGGGATACTGCGCAAGGAAGGCAGGGAACATATGAGACCCAGTGGTGCCTGGCGTCTCCCCCGTGGGCAGGTGCCTATGGTGAAAGTCCCCCTGAGTTATTCCTTTATGAAGTGGAGCTGGGCAGTGGTTGTGCCCCAGGCACACATAAAAACAAAGAAGACCCTGTTAGGCCTACAGAGTTGTTGAGGATGAGCACGCTGCCTACTGGACTTTGCGGGCCAGACCAAGATGCTGGGGGAGGAAGAGGTGACTTCCTGGGTGGGATGAGGAAATGGCTCAGGAGGGCTTCCTGGAGGCAGTGACTTGACTAGATGAACTGGAAGACAAAACTTTTTCCAAAAGCCTCTTGGGAGGTTTGGTTTGGCCTGAGGTGTCGGGAAGTAAGGAGGGGCCAGGCAGCTAGACAGGTGCTGGCATATTGTGGCAGGTTGTGGGGGGAGCCCCAGGGTGGCAGAGCCCAGAGAGGACTGTGGGGGAGGGAGGGAGGTTGCTGGCTGCCACTTGGATGCCCCTGAGGGATGGTGAAGTCAGGAGGCTGGAAGTGATGGTGGGGTGAGGGGAAGGTTCCGGAGAGGATCTCGGGGTGTCAGTTGGACTGATAGACCTGGAGGTGGGTTGGCTTGGTGGGGATGGCCAACTCCTGGGGCCTCTGAGAGAGTGAAAGGGAAGTGGAGGAGGTGGGCTGCTTCACAAAGAAGAGGAAATGATATGAGGAAGTCAAGCACCAGTGGACCCCTTGAGGTCTCCTGGGAAACAGTGTGTCTGAAAAGTGTGGGGGTTTGCTGGACCTTAAATGTATTCCCCAAATGTGCCAGGCAAGGGTCCTGCTTGTGTGGTGTGTTGGTTTGAGCTCCTTCCAGAGAAGCCTAAACAAGTCCACCTTGGAGTCTCCTGGGATCTTTGTGCACACATGCACGCACACGTTTCGGCCTCCATGCAGCCCTCTGGCCTTTTGCTCTGGCCATCTTCCTTGATGAGCATGACAGGACTTGGGAAACCGACGTCTCTGAGGGAAACTGAAAGCCTGCCTTGCTCTGTTCCTTTCCATTGCATTACCAGCTGGACACGGGCAGCCCACAGAGAGGAAGCTGAGCAGCCCGGCAGGCGTTTGTCCCGTGTCCCCCCCGCCCCCCATCTCCCTGTCTGTCCTGTATTCCTGGTGGCCTCAGGGACAGGAAGCACCTTAACTCCAGTTTCGCTGCAGGCATCTGGGGTGTGGTGTCTGTAGGGCTATCTCCCTCAGAGCCCCCTGTGTCCCCACTCCCCTCTGCTCCTCGGCAGATGGAGCCCACAGCTAGGGCTGTGGTGAGAGCAGAACGGTGAAGGATATTGAGCAAACAGAAAACATTACCACACATCCTGACTGGTAACCCCTTCGTTTTCACTTTCTTCCAGAATTTCTCCAAAAGGTTGTAAAGAAGCACACTGTTTAAGAGCAAAACCAGGAGGCCTTTGCAGTGGTGAGAGCTGCCAGACCCCACCCAGTGTGCCGGGAAATGTGGGTTCTTGGGGGTCACAGCGCCCACCAGCTCCAGGCTGTGCTGCAGGTCACGGCCCAGGGACTCTGAGCAGCGTGCACCGGACACCCACCGTGACCTCCTCTGTCTACAACATTTGCTGCTGAAGCCCGTGCTGCGGCCCCTGCCGATGAGGATGTGCGCCCCCGTGGGGGGGCTGCTCACTGCCCTTGCCGTAGTATTTGGGACAGCGGTGGCATTTGCACCCATACCTCGAATCACCTGGGAGCACAGAGGTGAGGGCAGAAGCATGTCAGATGCTGAGAGCATCTGCCTGTGAGGTTGAGATGCGTGTGTGCCGTTTCTAGGCTGGCTCTGTGTGCTCTCGGCACTTGTGTGTGAGCTGGGTGCCTGCACTGCTGTGTCGGAGATGCTTCCGTAGCTGGAAACACTCCCGGGCCTTGCGCAGCGCCCACTGATCGGGCTCCTAAATCAGGGCTCCCTTGAAAGGAAGCTCACCTCCCTGTGCCTGGTGCCATTGATGCCCACTGCCCAGGCACACACCACACTGGCGAGTCTTGAGGACATGCCCTGTAGCTGAGCTTCAGGCCACTGGTTCTCATTGGCTGTTCACTAGTTTCTGTTGTATTTATTTCCTCTCTTGGGAGCTGTGTCTTGGGACCCCATGTTCCAGGCGCAGTGGCCCTGAGCGAGGCGAGCCTGTGCAGGGCTCTGGGCAGTAGGTGTGCTGGGATGGCCTTCGTCCCATGTGGCTGTATCTCTAGCACTGGAACTTACAAGAGCAGGAAGCATGAACCCCTAACCCCTGAGTGAAACAAGAACTTGGTAATAAACGGAAAGCCAAGTTCAAAACCCACTGATGCTGGGATGGTCAAAAAGAAGAAACAGCTCCTTAGGAAACAGTGCCGATACATTTATTGTATATTACCCCCTCAAACGCGTAGCTAACCGTTGCATTCCTCCTATGCCTAACTGGCTATTGATGCGATTGCCTAATAAGGGGGAAATGTCACTTCTTTCTCTGTTTTGTAAACTTGTGGTGGGGTTAAGGGATATACTCACTGAAATAGATTTTATCAAAGGTTTTGAGGTAAATCTTTTTTTTCCTGAATAAGAAAATCCTAAATAGTTAAATTCTTTGTGCAACTAATCTGTGGATGATTCAACACACATAGACAAGAGTTTGGTAGAAGGTGAAGGGTGCTGCCATAGTCAGCAGCTTGAGGTGTCCGGCCTGCAGTCTCCTAGGAAGTCCCGAGGTCACATTGCTGGGAGGTCACACTGCTGGAAGGTCACGCTCCCGGGAGGTCACATGCTCAGAGATCATGCTCTTGGGCAGTCACATGCTAGAAGGTCACACTGCTGGAAGGTCATGCTCCTGGGCCGTCACATGCTAGAAGGTCACACTGCCTGGAGACCACACTGAGTTCAGGGTTTGGAACTCTGGGCTGGAGGGAGCAGGAAGGGAAGTCAGACCCCAGCACTGGTCAAGCACAGTGACTCTCGGCCTCACTGGGGTCCCATGTACCTTGTGGCTATCTCAGTGGGTCTGCTCCCCCCAGAGGTGCCTGAGTTCTGGCCCCGGCCGGGGTCTCCCCACCTGGCAGCAGATTCATGCCATGGCCTTGGGGACATGGCAGTGCACTAAAGGGAGACCAGATGCTCAGGGTGTGTCCAGGCTCAGAAATGCCTCACGTGCCACCCCTCCCGCCCCTGTCTCCCCAGAGGTGCAGCTGGTGGAGTTTCACCAGCCCGGCATCTTCAACTACTCAGCCTTGCTGCTGAGCGAGGACAAGGACACCCTGTACGTGGGCGCCCGGGAAGCTGTGTTTGCCGTGAATGCGCTCGATGTCTCCCAGAAGCAGCACGAGGTATGGCCGGGGCTCCTTTGGTCTGGGCTGCAGACCTTTCCAGTGTTTTCTCCTCGAACCGGCACACTTGGTTCCTCCTTTCTTGGTCATGTGGCCTGCTCACCCTGTGGCTGGCCTCATAGGCGTCCTGCGTTTAGAGAGCATTCTCCCCTCCTGCCAACGGGCCGAGGACCCTGTCATCCTGAAGCGACCTTCCTTCCCTGTGCCCATGCAGCCCCATCTCAAGTGCCCCTTGGCAGCCTCACCCAGGGACCACCCTCTTTTCAGCTTGGAGTTTCAAAGTTTTTACTACAGACAGTCTCAAGGGTCCACAGGAGCAGAGGGAATGATGTGATGACTCTGTGCCCATTGCAGCGCCTGCAGGCGGGGGTTGGCCCCTCGTCTTTCCTCCGCGCCCCCACCCTCTGCTCCCTCCACATGGCTCTGAAGCAAACCGCAGACACACTGTCTTCACCTGTGTTTCCCTGAACATCTCCTAAAGGGAATGACTCCTTTTTTTCAAAAATAACCAAATTACCAGGATCACATCCAAAAAATTAATGCTAAATAATCAGTGTTCAGATTTCACAGACTCTTTCATAAATGATGTTTGACTATTCAGTTTGAATCCAGTGGCGATCAGGCCATCCGTGTCCCAAGGCACTCTGTCCTTCGAGTCCCCATTTCTTGGAGGGTCTCTGGGCCCCTCACTGGGAGAGCCACTCTGCAGCTTTGCCGGCCCCAAGCCTCACTGGCTTCTGGTGTCTTGCCCCTGCCATGCAGCCTGGAGTCCTGTGTGCACCCAAGATTGCACAATGGGGAGTTCCAGGTCACCCTTTCCTTCTGAATCTGTGAGCCAGAAATTACCTGTAAAGGGGCAATGCCCATCACTGACTGTCCATGTCCCCCAGGCCGATTCCTTTGGAAATGGTAGGATTGGTGCTTGAAAATTTTGCCTTTACCAGTTTTCAAAATACTGAGTGAGTTTTCTCCAAAGGGAGACAGTGAGGTTTTTTTATTGATTTTTTTTTTTTTAGTGACCATGGACTCATGGATTTAAATGTGTTTGAAGTCCCTTGATCCATTTGCAGCCAGGCCCTCACTGGATGTTCAGATTGTCCCTCCCCTGGCCAGTGGCAGCCCCTCCTTACTTCCTGAGTCCTAGTGGTTGGGTCGTTTTCTCCTTCTCGGAAATCAAGGTGGTTCAGGTTCATCCTGTGCATTTTCTGCCCCAAACCTCTTATTTTTTGTTTTGTTTTGTCTTAATCTCTAGAGTCTAACATAGTGCAGGATTTCCATTTGACACATAAATGAGATTCTGGTCACTGTCCTTTGAGAATCAAGTGCATGTGCGACCCCCTGGGTGCTCAGTCAGAGCCGCTTGTTGCTCTGTTAATGGCATCGCTGTAGCCCCTGGGGTGAGGAAGAGGCTTCAGGACCTCCTTATATGTAAAACAGAAGAAAAAGGTAAAACAAAATTTACACACATGTATTTAGCATCAATCATGGACTAGCACACGGGAGATGGGGCATCTTGGGAAAGGTGAGGCAGGGCTGTGAGAGCCTTCCGTCCTCTGGAGGGTGAGGGACCCGCTGGCCTGATGGTCCATTAGTATGAGAGAGACAGGAGCTCAGATCTCCGCAGAAAGTGCCTGACCTGAGGACGTTGTCAGTCTGGCACTCTCAACAGCTGCTGTTACGTAAAATTTACAGAATCATACTCCCCTTCTGCTGATAGTGGAAGAAAATATCAAGGCTTTTTTTTAAAATTTTTTTACTTCAGAGTCACATTTGAATGGATTAAAAAAAACCTACTTTGATATATGAAAGTACCTACAGTTTAGCTTTTTGACAAATGTAATCCTCCCTACTTTCCGTAGTTTGGTTTTTGCTGTTGTTTGCAGTGAATAAGGGGGCTCTGGGAGGGTCCTTCCAGCCCTGCTGGCTTCAAGATGGGGAGCCCAGTGAGAGCCTTCGCCGGCCCGACGCTCACCGGCCTCGGCATTTGTTCTCTAAGCCTCGCTTTGCAATCTCAGATTTCACTGTCTCGGGAAATATCTGCTCTCAGTGCCATTGTGTGCTTTGTAAACTGTACATTCTTATACCAGTATCTCCTTTCAAAAGGGGGCTGTGCACTGAGATGGACTCTCATTCCTCCCAACAGGCATATTGGAAGGTCTCAGAAGACAAAAAAGCAAAATGCGCAGAAAAGGGGAAATCAAAACAGGTAATTTTTTTTGCAAGCTACAAAAAAACACGTATTTATTTCCTAGTTGTTTTAATCTTCTGAACGCCTCTACTTTTGGAATGCAGCCTGGGCGTTTTGTTGAGGTCCCTCACAACTCACTTTGCAGGTTACCCCTTTATTCCTGAATGGGAAGATCGCGTCTCCCAAAGTAAGCGCCAAACATAGTAGTCATTTGAGAAATACTTTCTGAAGTTGAACTAAATTGAATTTATTCAAATAGCCTAAAACTTTGACTCTGGAAAACGGTTTCCAGTGCCTGCTGGCTGATGGTGTGAAATGCAGGCCTCATGCCTCCCAACACCCCATTTGCCTGGAGGGGTTGCTGTATGATTTCTGGATTTTTGGCAACACCCATCCCTTGAAAACCTGTTCCTTCTTCAGGAGATTCTAGATACCTCAGTGTGGTGGCCATGCAGGGATTTCTGGGGCGAGTGTCAGTGTGGTGACGAGGCAAGGAGCTGGGCCCAGTGTCCATCTCCCGCTGAGCTCGGGGTTACTCCCCGCCTGCTGCTGGGCTGATGTCGGGGTCTCAGAGTCTCAGAGCCCTGTCTTCCTTGAAAGTTGGTCAAGACAGCTGAGTTATGATACATTTCAGCAGTGGTTGGCTAATTTCAAAACAATTACAACATTTTTTTAAAAGACAATTTTTTTAGCCAAATGCTAAATACTTTCACTGAAGTCAGTAAATCCAAAGTTACTTTAGGAAATGAGGAAAAAGGCAGCTGTTTCGATGTAATCACAGATGTCGCAGGGAGTTGTCTTTCAGCTAAATTAGAGCAGGGCCTTGCCCGCCCGCGGGGAGGCCGTGCAGTGGACAGGGGTCCCTCCCAGCTCTTATGGGGGAAGATGCATTATTTCCAACCAGTTTAAAGGCAATCATAGTATAAAAACTTTACTGAGTGGAGGTAATTTCAGACTATAGCACATATAATCCCAGTACATTTCAGTCTAAAATAGTGAGTAGGTCCTTAAGTGGCATCTGGTTTTCCTGCCGGCTTTTCTGATGTGGCACCAGGCTCAGAGCCCCCTCATTAGTCCAGCCTCCCCTGGGCTGAGCGGGCTGGACACACCCACTCCCGAATTGCTATTTCCAGTTTCAAGTGTTGGGGTGAGGAGGGTGGGGTCCCCCAGGGAGAAGGAAGGCCAAGGGGATCCTTCCCAGCATGCACCTCCACAGGCCTGGCAGTAACAAATGGTTTGTGTGTCCAGTGAGAGTAAAATCATTTCTTCTGTGGTGGGTGGGTAAGACTTAAGGTCAGCTGCCATTGCGTTTCATCCAGCACATCTTTGCTGGGTATAAATTAGTGACTGCAGTGAAATCCATGTGGCACCTGACAGCCAGCCTGTGGACGCTGCAGAGACAAAAGCACTCAGGCGGGCTGCAGACTGAGGTTTGTCCAGTGGCGGGTTGGGGTCTCAGCAAGCCTGCTCTCACTGTGGCCAGCAGGCAGAGCTGGTTTGGGAAGGTGGGAAGCATTAGAGGCCTGGTGAGAGGACGCAGTCAGTGCACAGTGCGGGTATCATCAGGGAGCCAGTGTCAGCACATGCCGTGCTGATTCTGAGCTTTGCAGCAAGCCGTGTGACCAGTGTGGGTGGTGGAGGGTGTCCCGTGGAAGCTGGTGGTACTTGACCCGGGCATTTCTCTTCCTTATAGACAGAATGCCTCAACTACATCCGAGTGTTGCAGCCACTCGGTGCCACTGCCCTTTACGTGTGTGGGACCAACGCCTTCCAGCCAGCCTGTGACCACCTGGTAAGGCATGGGCTGCTCCCCTGGTCAGCGATACAGCAGCGTGGGGCTCTGCACAACAGAAGACTGTTTTTACCTGCCAGCTGTGGGTGTGAGGAGGGGCTGCAGCTGCCGCACTGCTGCCTGCAGGTCCCGGTGTCCTGTCTGTGACCCTCTATGACTGAAGGCAGCATGCAGGCAGGACGCATGGGACCATGGCCCACAGTGCAGAGCCAGCCCGGGGGGACCTCCTGGGTACTGCACTTTTGACAGAAACACCAATGTGCCCTGATCTAGCACCTTGCCTCCTCTTTGTCATGTTTTATATTTTTTGAGGGAGGCCTCGCTGTGACATGGGTCTGGCCAAGTGGAAAGTCATGACTTCTGGTCCTAGACTTCATGTTCTTGGTTCACATGTGTTACGAGCTGAATGATTATGTCCCCCCAAAATCCCCTTTGGTATTTTGAGATGAGCCCTGGGAAGAGGTGACTAAGGTTAAATGAGGTCATAGGGAGGGGTCCTGACCTGATAGGATTGATGGCCTTATAAGAAAAGGAGGAAACACCAGAGACCCCTCTCCATGTTTGGACACAGCAGAAAGGTAGCCGTCTGCAGGCTGGAGGAGAGTTCCTCATCAGGAACCAACCATGCTGGTTCCCTGACCTAGGATTTCCAGCCTCCAGAGCTGTGAGGAATGAATATGTGTGGTTGAAGCCAGTCTGTGTGCTTTGTCCCAGCAGCCCTAGCTGACTAGGACAGCATGTCTAACCAACCTGGTGTTGGGGCGTCACCATCCAGTGTCTGCTGTTGGGGTGCAAATTTCTCACTGATTTGCAGATCCTGGAATGCACCCCCTCTGCAGAGTGACAACAGGACACAAGGGTGCTGAGCTGTTTTAGAAGCAAAACTGTACCCCTCCCTCACCTGCATCACATCCTTGACTCTCCCTAGGTGTTGGGACCCTCAGCCCTCATAGACAGACTTAGTTTCTTTTTCCATAAGGGAAATGTTTTGTACATCAAAGACTTTCCGGACTAAACTCTAGTAATCAGAAGCTTAAAATACTGGAATTTAAACTTAAATTTCACAGATATGTCTGTTGTTGAGGTCAGGGAACCATGTATCTCTTTCAAATCTAGACCTATAAACTTTCCCAGTATTATTAATAAAAATTTTTAGGCTGACAGAAAAATTGATACTCTATACATGTGTCCTAAACACCAACATGGCACATTTATTAGGAATGAGTGTGTGCACATGCTGAAGTGTGTGTGACCCATGACCCCTAAATGCCTTCACAAGCACCTCCTAAGAATAATGACATTTTCTTTAAGTTTCCTACATATTTAAGTCTGTCATTGTATCTAAGATTTCCAGTAATTCCCCAATTTCATTTAATCTCCAGTCTCCATTCAGATTTCTGCCAAGAGCCCCAAATGTTCTCTAGAGATGTGATCTATGATTCATATCAGTTAGGTGCACTGTCACCCCAATTCAGACTTCCTAACCTAAAAGGTGACAACCTGTATATTGTTTTAACCAGCCTGTTGAAAATGGAACTATAGCTCTTCATGTGCCCTTGAGCCCTGGCCTCTGTGTCTGTAACCATGTCTCCAGTCCCCTCACTGTGACAGATGGGTTTCCAACAGCTCACACGTCCTGTCATGTCTTTGCGACCTGAACGGGTTTCTCCTCTTATTTGCTGTTTTTGTTTTGTTTTGTTTTGTTTTGTTTTGTTTTGTTTTGTTTTGTTTTGTTTTGTTTTGTTTACTGGAGTCCTCCTCCTGGGATGTGCTTTCTTACTCTCTCCTTCATGCACGCTTCTCATATGTGCAGGGATAGAAATGCCTCATGTGTCATTTGCAGGCATTTCCCCAAGTTTGTCACTTGTTGAACTCTGTCCCACTTTTTCTGTGTACAAAAGCTGTCCAGTTTTTCATGTGATGGATCTGTCTGACTTTTCCTCACATGGTATTGGGTTCTCTCATCAGGTGAAGAGAGATTGTCCCAAGACAACAGAAAGGTGTATGTCTTGGTGGGTGGAATTCGGTAGAGATTCTACTGCTTTTTTCCTGATACCTGTTTATTGAACAGTCCAGTCCCCCACTGCCTTTGAATGCCATCTTCGTTGATACTAAAATCCTGCTTGCAGCCTTCCAGTCACTTACATATTCAGCTTGTCCTGGCTGTGTTATGACCCTAGAGCCACCAGCATGGCCATCTCCATCTCACCGATGAGTAAACTGAGCCTCCAAGATCTTGAGTAGCTCTCAAGGGTGTCAGCATACCAGGTGTCAGGGTACCAGGGTGCCAGCATTCACACCTGGGCTTCCCATGGCCAGCTCCACACACGCTCTTCCCTGGGTTCCCCCAGAATAGCAAGTCTCAATTAAATGATACAACAAAGATGCCTTATTACTACAGAACTTCAGATATTTTACGATACTCTTTCCTTTCATTCAATTGTAGAACCTAACGTCCTTTCAGTTTCTGGGGAAAAATGAAGATGGCAAAGGAAGGTGTCCTTTTGACCCAGCACAAAGCTACACGTCTGTCATGGTTGGTGAGTCACACTCTGGGATGTCACCACACTCTGGGATGTCACTGGCAGGGCTGTGCCGTCATGTTGAACACACACACAGGATGCTCAGGGCCTCTCCCTTCCCAGGAGTCTCCCCGTTTCCCTTCCATATTCACTGTCCTCACAGAGGTACGTGTGCCTCTCCTTAGAACCTCTGACATGAGCTTTTGAATTCATTGTTTAGAAAGGGTACCAGCCTCACCACGGTACACTGAGTCAGATCTGTGGGGAGAGCTTATTTTATATCCATCATTTGTGCCAATCATCTGGGCTACTCGGTCACATGGAGTCGACGCTCTCATTTGAGGGGATGTTTGTGACTGAGCCCTGGAGTGGTCTTGTGCACTGAGGCATGCGACCCTGAGCCCGTGTGCACCTGCTGTCATTTTGTTAGTTTCCTGATGCAGGAATTACTTGCTCTCATTGGCTATCAGCCCTGTCTCTCATAAAGTAAAGTTTAATGAGGAGCATAAGATTATCCATGTCAAAGAAATGAAAGGCATGTCCCAGAAGCAGGCGATGGTCACTCCATGCCCTGGGGGGGGGCGCATGCGGCGTTGTAAAGGAAAGTGAGCGTCCATCCCCAGCACTGGTGCTGACTCCTTCTCCTCTTTCCTCCTGGGCCCTGAAGACGGAGAGCTTTATTCCGGGACGTCATATAACTTCTTGGGAAGTGAGCCCATCATCTCCCGGAATTCTTCCCACAGTCCTCTGAGAACGGAATACGCAATACCTTGGCTCAACGGTAAGAAGTGAGGGGGTGGGTCATCGGAGGTGTGTTTCCACTCAGGAGCTTCCTCGCCAGGAGAGCCCCCCACCTGCTGTATTTCTCCTTTTGCTGGCTCAACCTCACGTGGGCTTCCTGGAGCTCTTGTTAGCTAGTGTAGTGGGGGCACTTCCAGGACTGCTCAGGGCTCCACAGCCAGCATCCCTGGGCTTCTGTGTTTGCCTCTCCGCTAAGAGATCGCTGTTTTAAGGCCTCCTTCACCCCTCCTGGAAAATGGGTCTGGGGGGGCTTTCATAAAGTGAGGACCTGATGGGCAGTGGGAACTCAGGGTGGTCAGGTCAGTGTGTGGTGTTATCACGTTATCTGTGAACAGCGTGTGTCCATGTTGCATTCACGATGCAGATGGCTCCAGACCTTTCACATGAGGCTTTTTGCATGGATGCTGTCCAGCAGGGCCTGGGCTTTTAAGCTTCCTAGACTGTCAGAGGCGGGTGGTCTGGGAGACAAGGGATAGCAGGCTCCTCCTCTGTATGGGGTGGCCAGGCAGCCCAAGCCTTGGGTCCTGGACTTGGTGGTTGGGAGTTTCTGTTTGAGGCACGTGTTGTTTAAACCAGCAAATGCATATCTGCTGGCAGGTCTCCGGGGACAGTGGGGCCTGGCTTGCTGGGCCCCCAGGCTACCTGCCAGTGGGGAGGCCCAGCCTTGCGTTCTCAAGGTGGACCAGGAGAGTATGCTTCAGAACCACATCCTGGGCACCCCCTTGGGCCGAGGAGGCTGAGAGGGGCACCACCATCACTCCTGGAGCCTGGAGCTTGTTTGGGAAATGGCCTATGCACTGTCACATGTCTTACAGGGAGGTGCCGAGGTCCCTCATTGCATGCAGGGGTGTGCCCAGGCCTCTCCATGTGTGCTGGGGTAGGTGGCCGGGCCCCCCAGTGTGTGCAGGGCGGTGCCAGGGCCCCTCAGCATTTTCAGGGACATGCAGGGGTCCCTCCCTATGTGCAGGGACTTGCCCGGGTCCCTCTGTGTGCAGGGGCTGCCCAAGGCCCCTCAGCGTGTGCGGGCATAACTGGGTGTCTTCCCTGCAGAGCCCAGCTTTGTGCATGCCGATGTGATTCGAGAGAGTCCAGACAGTGCTGAGGGTGGGGACGACAGGATCTACTTCTTCTTCACGGAGGTGTCTGTGGAGTATGAGTTTGTCTTGAAGCTGGTGATCCCCCGGATAGCGCGGGTGTGTAAGGTGAGGCCATTTCCCCATCTCTCTTTAGTTCCACCCATTGGGACAGCACATCTAGAGGATTAGTCACCTTGCCCAGGTGCCACACACCCTCCGTGACACAGATATCAGTGTGGACCACCCTTCCTCCTCCAACACCTGGAACGTTCCCTGGAAACTGAGGGAGTTTGGCACCCGGGTGGTGGGTGATTAGCTTCCTGTCCTTGGGGTTCTGCTTTTGATGCACCATCCTCAGACCTCCCCCGGGTTACAGAAAGTTCGTTTTTATTCCCTCTTAACCCGATTCTGGTGGAATTGGGATTTCACCATTCCAATGTTAAGTGGGGGAGGGGTGCATTTTCATTGTGTCCAGAAATAAATAAGGACACTTCGATTCCACATACTTCTGCATCCATATTTCTGAGTTTCAGTATTTTTCTCCAGACTAAGTCACAGAAGGTGTGTTTTATGATTGTCACTAAAAATTGTTTATGGAGAACCTGGCAGTTTCAAAGCACTTTAGCAGAAGACTTGGGGGTTGGAAAGGAAGTGAATGTCTGACCGCCCATGCGGACCATCTTTGGGGAAAGACCAGACTTACACACATTGGGCTAAGAGATGGGAGCCAATGCGTCTGCTGGCGCCTGGCTCCATGGGTCACTCATGGACGTGTTGTGCGTCCCTGGATATGCACAGGCCAAAGGGCCAAAGCGAAAGTGTGCAAGGACTGCCGCTGTCAACCTGAGTGTGAGCAGATTCAAACAGTTGTTCCAGCTGCCATTGGTGGCTTTTCCTCAACAGGGCTTTTTTGGTTTGGTTTGGTTTAATCTGTGATCCAAGCTGCCTAGGAGTGCTGCAGTCACATTGTTGTCTGCAGCCGGCTTTCTCAGTTGTGGCTTTGTTTTATTCAGGCAGAGCAACTCCAGGCCCTAGTGCCTCATTTATCACCTGCTCCTGGGACGTCTGCCCTTGTCCTACCACACACAAATTTGCATTTCAGGGGGACCAGGGCGGCTTGAGGACCTTACAGAAGAAGTGGACCTCCTTCCTGAAGGCCAGGCTGATCTGCTCCAGGCCAGACAGCAACCTTGTCTTCAATGTGCTGAGGGACATCTTCGTCCTCAGGGCTCCAGGCCTGAAGGAGCCTGTGTTTTATGGGGTCTTCACCCCGCAGCTGTAAGTGCCAGGCGGGCAGGGCTTCTCTCCACACTCCCAGCCCCCAGGCACTCATGTGGCCCCCTCTTCCCCAGGAACAATGTGGGGCTGTCGGCCGTGTGTGCCTACAACCTGTCCACAGCCGAGGCGGTCTTCTCCCGAGGGAAGTACATGCAGAGCGCCACAGTGGAGCAGTCCCACACCAAGTGGGTGCGCTACAATGGGGCTGTGCCCTCGCCCAGGCCCGGTGCGGTGAGTGACAGGTGCCTGGCTGCAGGAAGACCTGGAGCATGGAACGCCGTGTGGGGCTAGCCATGCTGCATGACCCTGTGCCACGCCGGGGCGTGGGTCGGTCCTCACAGGGAGTAGGCGTTCCCCTGGAACTGGGCAGGGCGACAGGCACACTCCTTTTCTTGTGTTCCTCTCTTCGGTGTGTTGTGTAACTGCTTTCGCTGCATACTGCCCAAACCGGAGTCTGTTCTGGATGGCGTGGGGTGTTTTCTGGCATTAGCATTGCATAACATAATTAGGTCTGTTTCATTTTCTGTTTCCTGTAGAGAAACACATGATTTCTTGCAAAGAGATGAGCTATACGCTCCATTAATTAATACGAATCACATTTTTATCTCCTAAAAGTAGTGAATTTTATGTAGAAATCAGTTTCTAGGCCTATTTGGCTTCTAGGCTGATTCAGCTCTGTGCGTTCATTCTGTGACTGGTGTGTCGGGTTGTGTGCACGGCCCAGAGGTGGGGCTGTGACTAGAGGGAGTGGCCTGGACTGACCCCCCGGGGCTGGCCTCCCTAACCCGGGACGCACCTCCTCCGACACCAGTCATCATTCCTTCTGTGCGTATTATTGGGTCGTCAGAAAAATCATGACGCATTTTTGCAACGAAAAACAGAAAAAATACGTCATGGCTTTTCCGACAATGCAATGTTAACTAAAACATGTCCACTTGGAGCCAGGAATTTTGGGTTATGCCCATCAGGAGCCAGGATAGAGAAAAGAATCCTTCATGCTGTTGGCCTTTATGCTATTTAGAATTGGACCGTTTTTTAGCGATTTTTGCCAGTCTTCTTATGGGAGAGCTATCAAATGATAAGTGTTTATTTTTTTATTTCAAAAGCTTGGTACTTTTTTATTCATAAATAGATCAAAATTACTTCACTGACTACTTGAAACACAAGTACGTCTTGTGGATAAAAAGACACTTGCATTTCCTACGTGCTTTGTAACCCTGTCTTCAGATTTCCGGGGAAAGGCCATCTCAGTTTTCCCCCTTTTTCAAGAAATCCACTGTGGAGGCCCAAGTTTCCTGCCTCTGGGAAGCCCGGACTTTGTGTAGAGCATGTGCTGGGCTGTCCGTGGGCGTGCGGTTAACGGCGGTGCTCTGCTCCCTGCAGTGCATTAACCACGAGGCGCGGGCGGCCAACTTCTCCAGCTCCCTCAACCTGCCAGACAAGACGCTGCAGTTTGTCAAAGACCACCCCCTGATGGATGACTCCGTGACCCCCATAGACAATAGGCCCAGGCTGGTCAAAAGCGATGTGAACTACACGCAGATCGTGGTGGACAGGACCCAGGCCCTGGACGGCACCGTCTACGATGTCATGTTTCTCAGCACTGGTGGGTCCAACCTTGTTAAATCCAGCTGATTGCCTAGTGGAGCCAGCATTTCCCCAGGTACCCCGAGTAATTTCTATTTCTGGGATCTCTCCACACCTGGCTGGCTCCAGATCTCTGTGACCATCAGACCACCTGGGGCACTGATTAGAAATGCAAGTCCTGGCCCAGATCTGGAAATTCAGGTTTGGTAGGTCTGGGCTGGTACAAAGAGATCCTAAATGACAGCAGGCAGGCAGCACATCCCTCCGGCCTGCCTGGCCGAAACCTGTCCCCACCTGCCATGGGAGGTGCTACTTCCCTGGAAGCCCAGGGTCGAGGGAGCAAGTATTTCTGGACTGAGAGTCGGTGGCCAGGTGCAGCAGCAGCTGGTGGGCGCCAAGGTTCGCCCTGGGTGCTTTCCAGCTGTGCCTCTGAGCCATTGATGGGCCGTGCCCTCACCTGCTGGGGGCCCCTCAAAGGATGGGCACCCCCAGGGGACCAGTGATCCAAAAACCACTTATATACAGTTTGACCTGATGGCACAGATCAGATCAGCTGTGCTGATACAGGTGTTGACGTCAACAATGAAACATTAGTTTATTCTTCATAAAACACTGGGAATAACCCATGCCACTTGAGTTTCTGTTTATTTTGCCAGTAACTTTTCCTTTTCCACCTCTAATGTAAAAATGCTACCTGTTTCTAAGTGTTGCTAAGGAAATGAGTGGAGAGGAAGAAGGGTGACTATTGGCTGCTGTGGCCAACAGTGCAGCACCGTCCCCTCCTCCTGGGGTAGGTCACTGACCTGTGCCTTGACCTTGCAGACCGAGGTGCCCTGCACAAAGCCATCAGCCTTGAGAACAGTGTCCACATCATCGAGGAGACACAGCTCTTCCAGGACATGGAGCCAGTCCAGACCTTGCTGCTGTCCTCCAAGAAGGTAAAGTGGCTGCACAGTTGGGCAGATGGCCTTCTCGTGGCATCGAGTCTCAGTGCTCACCAGGCTCGGGCCAGGCAGGCCCCTTTGGCCCAGACAAACCCACATTTGGGCTCTTAGAGAAAGCTCTTCAGTGCACTGTGGGGTTTGGGATGAAGGGAAGGCAGGCTGGGGAGATGTCACTTTCTCCTGAAAGTTGGCAGAACCTCCCTGAGTTGCTGGGGCTGACATGATTCCTTGTGGAGGGGGCGGGGGGCTGTGCCCTGAACTTGGCGAGGGTGAGACCCTGTCCGTGGTACACCGCTAATGCAGCTTACTCATCCGCATAGAAAACCTTACCCTGGATACTACTCCGTCCCCTTAGACAAGGCGCTAACCCCTATATCAGGGTTGGCAGATGTTTTCTGTAAAGGCCAAGAGTGAGTGTGAGGCTCTGAGGGCTCCACGGTCTCAGTCTCTGCCTTGTAGCACAAGAGTGGCGTGAAGCACTTGTGAGCAGGTGAGCCTGGCTTTGTTCCTACAAAGCCTTTGTTATGGACACTGAGCTTGCAGTTCATGAAATTTTTATTTCATATCACAAATATTTCTTTGGTTTTTCTCAACCAATTAAAAATGCAAAACCAGCTATTAGCTGGTAGGCTGTATAGAAACAGCCACAGAGTTGGGTTTGCCCCACGGGCAGCAGGCTGTCCTCTGTCGTCCACCCATGGTAGCCCGGGGAATGTGCGCCCATTTTATAGCTGGGCTGGAGCCATGTAGAGCAGAGCACAGCCTGGGCACCTGGGCACCTGTATGAGTCTGAGCAGGCCAGTCCTGCCTCAGTTTCCTGATCTGTACAGTGGGGACAGCAGACCCTACATGGGGAAGGGGGGGCCTGGCCTGTCCTTACCCTGTGACTGTGGCTGAGGACTTTATTTCTCCTTGTGGGTATCCCCACGCTGTGACCCCTGAGCTGATGGGTTCTGGGATGTTGGCAATGCAAGGGTTAGCACTAAAAATTGGAAGTGGGCCATGTGTCCTATTGCCCTTGGCTACAGCCCCGCCCGTTACTCGGCATTTCCCACCTGCACCCTATTTCAGAGCCTTGCTCGGGGCCTCGGGCCTGGCTGTCATCCTACTCTGCTCTGTTGCTGAACATTTCAGTTTGACTTCTGTCCTCCCAGGCGGCCCTCCCTCTCCAGGTACAGGTGGAGCTTCACACTGGAAGGAAGTTGTCCCCACCGTCCCTCAGTGCTTCCTCCCTGCCTGGTTCTTCGCAGGGGTCTCCACCCAGTTTATGGGCCCAGGCAGACCCACTTCTCCCTTGAAAGGAGATGCAGAAGCCCTTCCCACCGCCACCATGTAACTCAGTTGCGGGGGCCAGTACCCTGGAGGCCTCCAAATTGGTGAATGCCCATCAGAACAAAGGTTGGGCCCCAGAGCAGACATGCGGTGAGAACGCAGCTCTTCTCTGCTCCATGATGTCATTCAGGCACCCAGGCTGGCTGAGACCCTGCTGTCTTAAACCGAAGGCTTCTGGAGCTCTTGGGTGCTGATCCCATAGGTGGAAGGAGGAGGGAAGGGAAGTATGTGGGTGGTTATGGGTCAGGCCTCTGCTCACATGCCTTCGGCCAGGCCTTGATCACATGGCCACGCCCAGGGTGGGTCTGGCCTTATGGGAAGCCTGGTGCCCAGGGGAGCAGGATGCCTGTCCTCACAGGAGCCTCCAGCACTGAGTGTGGCCCCATTGCGTAGAATAGGTAGAAATGCACCCTGCACGCCATGGCTTCCCACGCCTTCTCCCCAGGCTGGTGGGCTCCGGGTGGGTTGGCAATGGCAGCAGTACTGCCGGGACAGCATGAAGCAGGTGTTCAGGGGTGAAAAGAGCACCCCCTTGCTCCCTGCCAGCAAGGTCTGAGTCAGTCATGCCTGGCCCTGTTTCAGAAAGCTGGTGCACAGCTGCTGCAGGGCTGTGGGTGCACAGACGCGACAGCACACACCCCCTCCCGTTTCCTGTAGGTGCTGTCCTTGTCCCTGCCTCCTCTCACCTGATGACAAGCGCATTTGCTTTGTTTTTGTATTGTGGTAAATACACGCCACGTAAAATTTAACTGTTTTTAAGCATACACTCAGCAGCATTAAGTACATTCCCATTGTTGTGCAGCCATTACTATATTCACCTCCAGAATTTTGTCATCTTGCAAATCTGAAGCTGTCCCCATTACACACTAACTCCTCAGTGTCCCCTCCCCCAGCCCCTGGCACCCACCATTCTACTTTTCATTTCTGTGAGTTTGACTACTCTAGAGACCTTGTATAAGTGGAATCCGGTAATATTTGTCCTTTGGACCGACCTATTTTGTTTAGCATCGTGTCCTCAGTGTTCATTCATATTGTAGCATGTATTTGAACTTCCCTTTTCAGACTGAATAATATTCCTTTGTATAGATGGACCACAGCTTGTTTATCCATTCCTCTGTTAATGGACACTCGGGTTGCTTCCACCCCTAGGCTATTGTGAATGATGCTGCCGTGAACGTGGGTGTACCTGTTTGAGTTCCTAATTGGACTTCCTTGGGGGATACATGGCTAATGTGCTTTGTGTGGTCGTCTTGGAGCCCACAGAATAGGTTGTGTCTAACTTTCATGGGCATGTCCTTTGGTGGTGAGACATGGCCTACAGGCAAAGGAAAGAAAACTGCTTACACAGCTCCTTCAACTCTGCCCATATCCTCCCATTACCTGCCACAGGATCGGACGTGACCCGTGTGCACAGAGACCAAGATGTGACAGCGGGAGCCCAGTGCCTTGGCTGGAGGCACAGTCACCAGAGGGGTGTGGGGACCCGCGAGGGCCAGGGGAGAGGGCTAGGGTACATGTGCTCTCAACAAACCTCACAGATGCTGGGCAGCCCCTGATCAGGATGTTTTTCCTTTGCCTTTGATAATTTTTTTATTTTGAAGTAACTCTAGAGTCAAGGAAGAGTTGGGGTGATAGTTCTGGGCGTCCCTGTGGGCCCTTCCCCCAGCGCACACCTGTCTAGCCTGATGATTCTGTGGCCCAGTGCTCTCACTGAGCTCCAGACAGCAGATGCCCCATTTCCACGGCGTCTTTCGGGCTCCGGGGTTCCACGTGGCCTCAGGCATCTGTCTCCCTCTTCCCTTCTGGTCTGGGACAGCTGCCTTCTGTCCTTGTCATGGTGGCCTTAACACTTTTGGAGAAAACTGTTTAGTGTTTGGTGGAACGCCCCTTAGTTTAGGCATGTCTCATTTTCTCGTGACTAGACTGGGGTTGAGGGTTTGAGGAAGATGACTCTGGAGGGCACCATCCTGGAATCCACGTGACTCTCAGTTACTTTGTTTAATATCCCACACTGTCCCCACGGTGGGCTTCCTTAGTGCCACCAGTGGGCCTTGTCTGCAGTGATCACTGTCGCCCATTCTCAAGGTGCCTGGCTATCCCCCTTCTCTTCCACATTCATTAACTGGAACCTGTGAGGTGCTGTCAGTTGTTTCATGGGAGCTCTGCCCATACCTGTGGGGTTTGCAAGAGCTGGGGACTGAGCAGCCTGTGTGGGTTTGCCCTCCCCACACCCAGCCACCTAAATAGGGGCAGGGGGCAGGGGGCTCTCTAGGCAGTCGGGGCCACCTGTTCTGTGATGCGTGAGAGTCCATGCCCTCGCCAGGGTCCCTCTGTGGACCCCGATGGCCCTTTGAAGTTGCCCACTTGGTCTTTCGCCCCAGGAAATTTTCCTGACCTCTGTGATCCATGGGATTGATTCCCTGACCGTGATCCACCCGTGGCACCTTCACTCCTTACAAACATGGCGGACACGTGGCCTCTTCTGCCCAGGTCTCTACTGACATAGACAGGTGGGCACTGGGCCTGGTTTTCTGCCACTTGTCTCACCGTTTGACTCCCTTATAAATGGGACTTCCCTTTTCTCCACTGTGGTTGCACACAGTGGGTCAGTAACCTTCGATGCATCACAGGCAATAAGATCTGGGGGCACCACCAGGGACTTTGAGCTCAGCAGACTGAAGTTAATTCAGAACCTGTTCTCCAAGAATAAAGGCCATTGTGTCTTTTCTGAGTCTAAATCCTGAGCTCTGTGTAAACCTGGATTCTTTTGATGTTAACCAGAGGACATGCTAGGACGTCAAGGTGACATGGAGGCACCAGGCAAAGGATAGAGTGGATGCCAGAACCCAAATGGCAAGCCCCGGCTCTGCTCGGGTGGATGTATGTGGGGCCCTCGTTCCAGCCGAGCTCACTGAAGACATCAGCCAGCCCTGTGGCCTGTGTGCCGGGTTCTCTGCCAGCGCTGAGTACTGGGGGAGGTGGCCAGAGTGGCCAGTGATCCCAAACCAAGAGTTCCAGGTCACTGAGGAGCCTTCTTTGCTCTGCTTCTGAGTGTCGCAGTCAAGTTCCAGATCTGCATATTCCTCCCTCGTGAATGTAGACACATGATAAGCGGGTGCCTCGTCACATCTTTTATTCCATGTACTAGCATGTGTACCAGTGGCGTTTGTTTGCACCTCCTTGCTGTGAGCCGTGCTGAATTCTGATATGGAGGACACCACACTCTGTGCTCTGGTGCCCATGTTGGGCTCCAAGTTTGTGCCCTGCAGCCTGTGGCCTGTAGTGAGGCTGGGCATGTCCACCTAGTGGATCTGGCTTCCAGAGCAGGACTGAACAGTCTCAGAGATACGCTCTGCTGCTCTGCAGGATGATGGTGGGCTCCTGGACATGGAGGAGGGATCTGGCCAAGGCCCAGTGCATCCTGAGTTAGCATGAAGATTTTGCTCAAAAACCATGTGTCTGGTGGCCCGTGTTGTCACAGTGCTGCACTCAGATTCCTCTGGAGTCTGACCTGGCCTCTCCCCAGTCTGAGCGAGGAGGCGGATTCTCCTCCTCCAGGAAGCACCTGGTCACCGTTCCCTTGAGGCTGGAGAACCTGCACTTGGCACCCGTCACGTTGCTGGCTGCCCTGGGCCCACCCATTCTCATCTGTTTATACCCACAGGGCAGAAGGTTCGTGTATGCTGGTTCCAACTCGGGTGTGGTCCAGGCGCCTGTCGCCTTCTGTGGGAAGCACAGCACATGCGATGACTGCGTGTTGGCCCGGGACCCATACTGCACCTGGAGCCTGGCCACGGCAACCTGCGTAGCCCTGCATCAGACCAATGACCCCATCAGGTACCTGGGGTGGGGGGGAATGGTTAGTGAGGCATGCAGGTGCCCCGCCCACCCCACCATGGGAAGCACGTGCACGTGTGTACTCTGTGTCCCTTGTTTTGCAGGAGTCTGATTCAGGACATGAGCGGGGATGTGTCCACCTGCCCCGGTAAGTTGCTCGTTCTCTCTCCACAACCTTAAGGGACAGCGAGTCTCGTAACCATTGCACGATGCTTTGGTGGTGTGGCATTTTGCACATTTTGTTTTTCTTTCTCTACTCAGAACAGAGGTCAGATGTCTTTTGGCAGACCCCGTGACATTTCTCTGTCCCTTGTATTGCAGAAAAGACTGTTTGAAGCCATGCAGAGTGTGTTTGTTTACTGGAAAGCACTCTCAGTCCTAAACTGTAATGTTCACTCTTGAGATGCATCTCTCTTCTGTTAGCTCGGGCTCGTTAAACAAAACCTGTACCTCTTGTGAACGGGAGGAAAGATGAGTCCTCAAGCAGTTGACTCTCGCGGGTGGTGCTCCCCTCAGGTGATACCACCGCCTGCCGGGAGGTCAGGTGTGTCCCAGCTGAAGGCAGACGTGCCCCTGGGCTTCTGCCCTCACATCCCTGACCTGACAGCTGGTATCAGCTAAGACAAGTTTAGGAGGCAAGCACCGCAGGGCTGATGTGCACAGTGGCCTTGAGCAGGAGGAGCGTGTCCTGTGTGACTCAGAGTGTGGCCACCAGAACAGGTGACTGGCTACTCAACCTCCCCACCTGATGCGTTTTCTCCTGGGAAACCAGAGTACGAAATGGGATTTCTGTGCTCAGAGGGGCCTCTGGTTTCTCGGTCCCTGTGGGCTGCCATCCAGGGCTCATCTTTGCTTTTTGGTTACACATGTCTTTATCTCCTTAGTTGTCTGGAAGATTCCACGTTCTGGAAGGTTCCATTCCAGTGGGTGAAACTCTTGTGTTCCTCTTGTGCTTATTGACCTATTTTTGAAAGAAGTTGGGTAGCGAGCAGGGTTGTTGATGCTGTGCACATTTATTTTGATGTTCCAGATAAAATTAAGGAAAGTTTCCGGCGGCATTTTTTCAAGCATGGCAGCACAGCGGAACTCAGATGCTCCCAAAAGTCCAACCTGGCGCGGGTGGTGTGGAAGTTCCAGAATGGAGTGCTCAAGGCCGAGAGCCCCAAGTACAGCCTGGTGGGCAGGAAGAACCTGCTCATCTTCAACCTGTCGGACGGAGACAGTGGGGTGTACCAGTGCCTGTCGGAGGAGAAGGTCAGGAACAAAACGGTGCTGCAGGTGGTGGCCAAGCACGTTCTGGAGGTCAAGACATTCGCACGGACCTCAGTGGCCTCTACCTTTCTGACCACTGGGACAGAAGGTGGTAGGATTACCCCCGAAGTCTCCATGGGGCCCACCCAAGGCTCCTCTCCCCGGACCCCAGCTGTTCAGGTCACCACACCTTCCAGCCTGGTGCCCACCAGCACGTCCTGCGAACCAAAGATTGTCATCAACACAGTCCCCCAGGTCCACTCGGAGAAGACGATGTATCTCAAGTCCAGTGACAACCGCCTCCTCATGTTCCTTTTCCTCTTCTTCTTCGTTCTTTGCCTCTGCCTGTTTTCTTACAACTGCTATAAGGGCTACCTGCCCGGACAATGCCTAAAATTCCGCTCCGCCATGCTGCTGGGGAAGAAGCAGCCCACGTCGGACTTCTCCGACTGCGAGCAGAGTGTGAAGGAGACGCTGGTGGAGCAGGGCAGCCTCTCCCAGCAGAACGGAGGGCAGCCCAGGCCGGCCCTGGACACCGGCTATGAGACGGAGCAGGACACCACGGCCAGCAGAGCACCCACCGACAGGGAGGACTCGCAGAGGATCGACGACCTCCCGGTCAGGGACAAGCCATTCGATGTCAAGTGCGAGCTGAAGTTCGCCGACTCGGATGCAGACGGGGACTGAGGAGGGTCTCAAGGAGAGGTCTTTGTGTTCCTTGTGCAGTAACCTCACCCCGTGCCATGTAGGTAGCCCGTCGTCCTCAGACCTCAGTTCCCTGTGTCTCTTCTCTTGGGTCGAGTTTTTGACTTGGTTTCTCTTTGTCCTTTCGGAAAATGACCAGCCTCACACCTGGGCTCCCTCAGTCGGTCGGTTGAAGCACTATGAGAGGTACCTGCAGGCGGCGTCTCACCTGAACCCTCTCTTGTGGCAGGGAGAGGGCTGACTGCCGCTGGCCTGGGAAGAGTTGGGCCTAGAGCATCCCCTCCTCAGAGCGGCCACTGAAAGATAATTTAATTCCAGATTGGAAATGACATTTTAGTTTATCAGATTGGTAACTTAATCGCCTGTTGTCCAGATTGGCACGAAGCTTTTTCTTCCACGTAATTATTTTTTAGTATTTTGCTTTAATTTTGTTGGAGTGTTAGGTCATTTATTTTTTAAATTACTAAAGCAGATGTTTTAATATTTGGAAGATGTACGTCTTCTACATTTTGTTGTATGTGGCTTACGTTGCTTAAGATTCTCAGGGATACACTTACTTTTGCTAAACATGTTCTTTCTGCTTTTAGAAACACAGACGAAGCCGTCTCTTGAGCACACTTACTTTTTTAAAACAAATTTTATTCCTTGAGGGAAGTGTCGTTTTTAGAGAGATTTTCTTTCTGTACTTTTTTCTCTTGTTTTAACTCTTTTGAAGAAGAGAAGACGTGGAGGACTGTCCAATGACCACCGGGCAGCATTTTGATCGAGGGACGATGGCCCCAGTGGGTGCTGGGTGGAGCTGGGCTGGCCCTGAGCTGAGGAGACGAGCGTTTTACAATCCATTGTCCATGGCCACTGGTCACAACCTCCTGTCCAGACAGACGGAACGTTCATCAGGACTCTGGTTATCTGAACATCTCCTTTTTCTTTGTGCTTCCATCTCACACCTCTTACCCAACCAGACTTTTCACGTGGCTGACCTGAGCCGTCCACAGCTGGAGGAGAGCCGGGCAGCGGGGAGGGATCGGCCTGTGACCACAGCTGCCCACAGACGCCGCCATGGCAGACCTGCGTGGCCTGGCACCGTCTTTAAGGTGTGAGGGGCGGTGCAGTTTAACATCACCGACTTCATACTCCACTTCCCACTGTCCAGATGCCCACAAGAGGCGACTTTTTTTCCGTGGCAAAGAGCAATAAACTCTGGATTTCTGTGTGCCTGTGTGGACAGTCTCATCTTCCAGCATGATAGGATTCGACTGTTTTGGTGTAAACATTCGTGTTTTATAAAATTTACTTTGTTTTTATTTTTCTACTTTAAATTGTATACATTTGGAAAGTAACCGAATAAACGAGAAGCTTATATCCTTGATGTGGGCACATGATTTGCTGAGGCCGTGGGGCCTCCCTCCCACGTATGTGACAGGCGTGGCCGAGCCCCCTGCCCCCTCCACGCGTGGCCTGGGCAGGGGGCCAGGATAGCACTGGGTCCCTTTCTTTTCTTTTCCTGAGCTTGTTTCTCTTCTCTGCATGTAGTGTGTTCCTGACGACTTCTGCCTCAGTGCCCTCTCTCTTTTCTGTCCTCTGTCTCACAGCCTCATCTCCTATGCCCTTCCCTCCTCCGGGGTCCTCCTCCCTGTCCTGTCTGGGCCCCGACTCATCTTCCTCTCCCCGAAGCCCCTGGCTGGCCTCGGGCTCGGGGCCTGACAGCCGCCCGAGGGTCACCTTGCTGCCACCCTTCCTCAGCGACCAAGCCCAGCACGTGCATGCCCTGGGGACCTTCCACCTCTTCTGCCAGGCCACAGGTGAGCAGGGTATCTGTTCAGTTCAGGTGGGGGTGGGGGGCGCGGGCCTCCTCCACCAGCACTGCTTTCCTGGCTGCACCCCTTGGTGATCTCAGTGAAACTAAACCGTCAGCCTGAATTTATTCCTCTGGACAGCAGGGGCCAACCAACTTTTTCTGCACAGGTGAAATGTTAACTGTTTTAGGCTCTGCAGGACCATGGTTTCTGTCCTGACTGCTCAGCTCTGTCCTTGTGGCCTGAAAGCTGCTGGTGGGTGGGTGTGGCTGCGCATCAATCAAACCGTGTTTACAAATCCAGCGTCAGGCCAGATGTGCCCCAAAGGCCAAGGTGTACCAATCATTATTGTATAGCAGGGGTGTCAAACTGGCGGCCCACGGGCCGCATGCGGCCCTCAAGGTAATTTTTTGTATACTCGTCTTCAGTAGTTAAAGGGTTAATGAGGGAATTGTGTGTACGGTATTGCCTCGATCTCCCCTAATCGCTATTTTCTTCATAACAATTTTTTCTATTTTCATTTTATTTCAGAGCATCGTGGGCCACAAAAAATTACCTTGAGGGCCGCATGCGGCCCGCGGGCCGCCAGTTTGACACCCCTGTTCTATAGGGTTACTTCTACATCTGATAACAAGCTGAATTTGATATATGTGGCATTTGGCGATTTCAAAAATTAACTTCAGAGCTTCCATAGTGGGAATTGTTTTAACTTGTTGGTGACATCTAAGCGCAGAAAAGACTGCGAACTAGTGGAAGGCTTTTGGACCTGGGAGGCATTCATTGGACAATATTGGGATGGGACCTCAGGCAAACCCACCTTTCAAGGGCGTCCTGGGTTTCGGGCGGTGCCTGGTGGCCTAGGTCTCCCATGTGTCAGCATCTAAATAGCCTCAAAGAGAAAACAAGACATTATAGGCCTTGGCGGCACCATCATCTGCTGAGAGGGAAAAAATGACATTAGTGAAGAAAAAAGCAAATCCTGTTGTTTGGGATTTTTTTGAGATTTAAAAAAAAAATTTTTTTTTAAAATTGGGGAACAGTGTTTTTCCAGGACCCATCAGCTCCAAGTCAAGTAGTTGTTTCAATCTAGTTGTGGAGGTTGCAGCTCAGTGGCCTCCCCTCATGGCCACGGTATCTCCAACTACGTTCACTGTTACAGAGGTGCGTCAAGAAGCCGCCGTCCGTCTCCTGCTAGTGCCTCCATGGCGGGACCTAGCAGAAAGCTGGTGGCCAAAGATAGGGAAATGCAGCTTGTAGCCTTGCAGCTGAAGCAGGAGAGCTGGGTAGACAGGGCAGTGAGGAGCTGGGAGGGCAGGCGCCTCAGCACCACTGACCCGAGAACGTGAGGTCAGCAGGAGTCCCTGGCACTCAGGATGGGTGGACCCAGGAGACAGCCCCCCAGCCCTCCGGTCCTCGTGCTCCTAGGCTCACTGTTTTCCTCCAGTCGTTCACCCCACCTGGGAGCTTTCCTTGTTCCACAGAGGCCACCACCTGAGGCCGTGGGGCGGCCCAGGATGAACCCACCTTTCTAGGGAGCTTGTGCCCTATGCCATCCAGAGGAGCGTGCTGTTTATATTCTGTTCAGTGTCAAGACCTCCCAAGGGGCCTGAGGCCCTGCATTTGCTCCGAGTGGGTTCAGGACCATGGACTGAATGCCTCACACACACACCCTGCACACCCCGCACACACCCCACAGACACTGCACATACACCACACATGCATGCCACACGTGAAACCACATACATACACACACATGACACCATGCACCACACAAACTACACATACAATATACACAACATATGTACACATACCACAAATAAATCACATTCACGCACACTCCACACTTGGGACCTTTGAGCCTCCTGGAGGCAGTGTGGTGCTCTGTGGCCCCCTGTTCGGCAGCATGTGAGTGAGAAGTGAGTGCTTGGGGGCAGCGGGAGGGCTCATCCCAGACCACACAGTGGTCCCTCCCTGTGCAGCCTTGGCCTACCCTGAAGCCCTGTGCACACTCCACCCTCTAGAAAGACCCCCTTTCATTTCTGCACCTGTCAGCAGGCAAAAGCCAGGAGATGGCTCTCAGAGACCCCACTGAGGGGCATTCGAAGACTCTCCTTAGCCAAGTGGTTTCACATCCACCCAGGAAGCCTACTATTTCTAAAGACAGCCTGCTGTTGAGGGACAGGGCAGACGAGAGTGGGTCCCTCTGTCTGAGACCCCGTGCAGGCCTTGTCCCTAGGCCTGTTCCACCACAGGCATGGGGTGCCCCAGTGACACATCCAACTAAGCATGTTTTTCCCTCTGCCCTTAAATCTAATCTACAAGGCAGCACTAGTGGATTGTGCAACGTGGGTGTGCAAGCAGCCAATGAAAATGGCAGTGTCTCAGGCCATCCCCTCTCTGAGTCCTAGCAGCTGGGGGCACTAAAGACCAAGTCCCTCAAGCTGCGGTCTGCACAGATGTTGTTTATGCCGCTATGGACCACGTGCCTCCCTTTCCAGGTTATTCCCTGTGAAGTCCCCACGTGGTCTCAGGCCTGGGCATCACCACAGAGCTGAGTTTATGAAAACGTGTCACAGTGGCTCAGACTCTTGACCTGACTAAGGCCAGGTTGGCTTCTTACAGTGGGCACAGCTCTGCAGCTTGGTGACTCTGATGGGCTTCCCAGCTCACCGTCTTCCCTCCATCCCCTGACCTCAGTGGAGTGTGTGTACATGTGCGTGTGCATGTGTGTGTGCATGTGCATGCTTGTATGTCTGCTCTCGTGTGTATTCATGTGCGTGTGCACATACCTGTGTGTGTGTACAATCATGTTTCTTTTTGGTCCAGAGCACGCTGTCTGTTTCACACTGTGGCCACACCTCCATTCACAGGGGCTGAGGCCTGAGCATGGCAAGAACTCCGGTTCTGGAGTGGTTGTCCAAACTGCCGACTGCCTTTCCTCTAGAAGGGATCTATGTGCATGATGGAGAGTTACAATATTGACAAGGAGAGACAGGGTCCTGAGCTGAAGAAATTAAGTAAGCATGCAGTCGTGTTCCACTTCTCTGAAATAATCCATGCTCCTTGTGACAAAATTAGAATCGTATAGATAAGCAATGAAATAATTCCACTGCTTGCACATAAGCACAAGTAGCTTTATCTTGGCATATAAATGTGGACAAATAAATGTGGACATACAAGTAGTAGTGATTGATGGTGATGAGTCTGTATCTATGCATATGCAAATCATGCACTTGCATATGCAGGTATACACATACAGAAATAGATCCATATAATTTTTTTAACAAAAGTGGAGTCTTTCTTTACCCTGTGGGTCCTACTCCTGTCCCTTATATGACTCTAGCTGAGAGCTAGTTTAAAGCTATACGTTAGTAACATTTGACATTTAATGTTTGGTGGCCTTTTGTGTTTTAACTACAATATTAATGATCAGAGCTCTTAAAAACAACAGGGGCAGAGAGGTAAAAAGAGGCTTGGGTCTCAGAAGGGTGCTGGTCCTGCAGTGACCATTGGTGCACATGTACATGCCAGGGCTCCTAAAGGCCGAGGCCGAGCTGTGGGGGGTAGTTGACTCATGAGTTGATCATTTTCCAGAAAGGGTCACCCCTCTACTTCAGGGCAAGGTGACCATTACCTTGCTGGAATCTCGGTGCTTAGTGTGTTTAATGAGGTGGTTTTTGCCAGAGCTGTGTCTCTTCTTGGTTGTGTGATAATCCACGTGCCTTCACAACAGAGCAGTGCAGTCCAGTGGTTTCTGAAAGTCTCCCTTTGTGCAGCAATGTCATCCACAGAAGGGAGTCCCCCTAACCTCCGTGCAGCTGGGAGACCATGCAGGCACCTCCCCGCAGCATTTGTAAAGCACCTTTGGCTACATACAGTTCCAGTGACTAGGACCTGGGCATTTTGGGGTTCACTCTTCAGCTGACCACAGGGCACTGGCAGCTTTGTGACAGGCTTGAGATACCCTGAGGAGGAAAGCCAGTGAAATCAGGGTGGTGGAGACCCAGGAGAGCCCCTCGCCGCTGGGTCTGCCTGATGTCTGTGCAACTGCGGACTCTAAGCCCTGCAGGGGAATGCCTAGTCCTGGGGATCAGCATGAGTGTCCTTGGTGCATGCAGCCTCTGAGTGCTCTGAGAACAGCCCCCAGTGGTGTGCCTGGGCTCCTAGTTGCTGGCAGGACCCTGGGCATGAACATGGGAGGTGGATGAGCCCGCTGGCAGCTGGCCCCAGGGTCAGAGTCAACCACATGCAGCAAGCACAGGATGCTTGGAAGCGACTGGCCTGCGTGGAGTTGCACAGATGGCAATGGGGACACCCAGCAGGGATGTGGCCTTAGAAAGTGGGATGGATCCCATCACACTCCCCTCCAACTCAGGACTCTCTGACCCCCACCTCCAGGAAGGGTCAGCCTCCCTCCTTGCAGAGGGGCCGTTGTTCCCAGGACTTCCGTTTTTGTCGCAAAGTACATTTAGGTCTGCCCTAGTGGTCTCCTCAGATCATTTTGGATGAGGGTAGGGCAGGATGGAGCCAACAGCTCCTGTTGTTGGGTGCTGGGACCTGGGACTCCTGCCAG